TCTTGGTCTGCAATAATAAGCGTGCAATAATGCTAACCAAGAAGATAGGTAACTATTAAACCAAAAATTAGTTGTTTAAAATAACATATAAAAAAAGAAACCCACAAAACGTGCTATTTCAACTACTTCTAATATTTTTTGTTGCTATTTTTAAATTTTATATTTTATGTATTGCACCGAAACAACTGACTATAAAATGACAGCACAATGTGATCCCTGACATTGAATAAAAATAGTAGAATCAATTTATGATTATTACAAGACTTCTTTTTGACTGATTCACTTACTGATTCGTCACAGTTTGTTAGTCAGAAGCGTCTAAACCTTTTGAAAATTGCACAAAGTGCTGATAACGATTCATTCCATTACCAGAACACTTGCTTATATGCAAATTATACAATTAAAAAAGGACCCAATTTTTCAGGTCAGATCAAAGCGAACAATGTCAAAAACAAAGTTTACCGATTAAAATATTAAATACAAACGGTTTTCGATTATCATTGTTTGTAAATGCTAGAAATTAAAAAAAAAATAGTTCGGCCGGGCATTAATAAATTAGGATCGATTTCCTAGTCGGGAGTAAAGAAGGATAAGAGGCACCTGCGAGTCCGAGGTCGTTCAACCGAAGAGACGTCAGGTTGTTGGTAGGACCGTTAGGAAGACATACCGGACAAATTTCATTCCCTCGCGTTTCGGTATGTCACCAAAACACGGAACAAAAAATGGGGCACACACGATAGCATCGTTCACGGCCAAAATAAACTACTTTTTAAGACGATAAAATCCATTAAATCACTTGACCGTGAAACAAGAGGAAAAATCACGATTGACGAAACTACATATATAGGTCTCAGATCGTAAATGGAGTAGCGATTCGTTGTGTTCTCTACTTATGTCACGTGACTTAAAACAACCTAACGGTTAGGACAAATAAATATCAAATAAAAAATTAGGTCAATGAATGAAATGGGACAGCTAAAAGAATGATTACACGAATCGAAATAAGAATACGGTAAAAGATTTCAGGGAAAAGCACGTAAGCTATAAAATTGTTTACGACATGCATACGTACAACATTTATGTCAATACTGAACTTTCAACCGAAGGGTTGCCACTCCTCGGCGTGCTGACCCTAGGGTCTATTGATACTTCGTTATGCGACTGGTCGCTAGTATCACCTTTAAGCCAGATACCCAGGGGATCGTCGTTTCCCAACCAACGGGTGACTACGCCGGGGACTGTCGACTTCTAGGCCATTTGAGCCCCAAGCACATGAAAACTATAATCTAACCTAATACTAATTAAATTCCATAAGTCAGTCTTACAAATAAATACGTATAAAGTTAGCAGTAGTGTTTTTAGAAAGAATGAAGATCGTGCACGAACGATGTTATCAGAAAGAAAAATATTTAAGCAAACGTAAGATGGAGAAAAACATGAGATATACAATAACAATGGATGAAGGGTAGATTTAGAAAATACTAGAATTGTTTACTTCTCTAATACTTAATTTATGGAAGCATTAGTTTATTATGCAGGAAGATTCACTACTCTTCGAAAAGTCCGTCAGGTGCTTCTATACCTCGAAATAAAAAGAAAAATTCAAGGTAAAAAATATACAATATACATAATATAAAATATAATACAATGAAAAAGAGACAACAAACATAGCGAACAACCAAGCAGAAAAATTGGACAAAATATCTACATAAAACACAAACAAAAAAAGAATAACGTACAGAAGTTGTAAAACCAAACTTTAACCTAATTTAAAAAAACGTAATTTTTCTGCTTTAGTATGAATTTTTCTTTTTCTTTTAAGGTATGGAAGCACTTGACGAACTTTGTCGTACGAGTAGAGAATCACCCTGTATAATCAACTTATGCTTACCCATAACATACTATATATTAAATATATGTCCACAAAGACGGATATTAAAACCTGGACGAAAGTAAAAGGGATTTTTATTCTCAAAACTATTCCCTTGCTGTCGCTCTATTACAAGATTTTTATTCTCACACGCCCTCCGCATAATATTATCGTTGATATTGTTGTTTACAATACAAATTACTCTGGCAACATCGTCGCGGGAATCATTTTGGAAAGTGTACTATCAATTTCAATTAAGACAACATATTGACGAGGGTTAACTTTACATGTAACTTTGCATTTATAATTGATTTTCGAAAGGGAATGAAAGCTTTAATTCCCTATAAAATAATTTTCGCCAACGTGTAATTAGAGATGGTTGAGGTGCTTAAAAATTAACTAAAATCCGACTTTTGTGTCTGTCTGAATTGAGTCTACATATACATATAAATGATAAGAAACAATTTAATAAGTTATAAAATAATTAATGCTAACAATAATTTTACTACCGAAACAACTTCGAGTGGACCAGGTAAAAAATACTACAAAAGCCAAACAAATTAATTATAAATTTCAAAATATTCAATTTCAATATACAGGGTGATTCACTACTCGTACGACAAGGTTCGTCAGGTGGTTCTACACCTCAAATACAACAAAAAAGTTGGTTTCTACCATGGTCCGATTTTCTACTCTTTCGCAGGTATTCAACTTTTTTTCTCAACTATCTGCGATTTTTTTCATAAATCTTATCATTAATTTTTCTATTTTTTTACTTTGTTATTTTTTATTAAGTTAAAGTTAGGTTTTACAACTTCTGTTGTTCTTATTTTGTCTGTGTTTAGTTATTCAGATATCGTTCTGTGTTTAGTGTAGATATTTTGTCCAATTTTTCTGCTTTGGTTGTCTGTTATGTTTACTGTCTCTTGTTAAGTGTTTTGTTTCATTTGTCTTTCTTTTTGTGCTTTTTATTAAGTTAAAGTTGTGTTTCACCACATCTGAATTGTTCGTTTTTTTCTTTTTTTTTTTGTCTGTGTTATATGCAGATACTTTGTCTAATTCGTTAACTTTGTTGTTCGCTAAGCTTATTGTCACTTTTATACTATTTTATTACATTTTTCTCTCTTTTATTTTTTATTTTATTTTTTTTTTTTAAGTACTTTTGGAAAATACAATTTGTTCAGGAGAAAAAGTTGAATTACTATGTAGATTAACCCCACTCCCCCTTTTTCATACCTTGGATAAAATTTCTGCATTTGTTACGATGTAATTAAAGAAAAGGTTTACCGCTAGAAAGATTATTAATCGAAGAAGTTGTTATGAAATTTGCCAAGCTCTACCATGAGCGTTGAGCGAAAGATTTAGTGTTTACCAAAAATTAAATTGAAAGTGCTAGAATGGTGCCTTTGAACGCTCTTTTCCAAGCTTATTTGGATTTCACTAAAAATGAATAGTTCATGAGCTACGAGTAGCTTTATGACGAAAACCGTAGATAGTTGGAAAAAAGTCGAATATCTGGGAAAGGGTTGAGAATCGGACCGTGGTTCATACGAACTTTTTTTGATACATTCGAGGTATGGAAGCACCTGACTAACTTTGTCGTACGAGTAGTTTTTCATCCTGTACATTTTGTATATTTGGTAGATAAAACATCAATTAGACAAAACATCCAGTTTATGGTTTTATTTAAATATGTGTATTGGAAAATCTGCCTCAATAATATTGGACTCTCTTTACTGTTAATATGTCTAATCAATATCCATTAGTCATAAAAGTGTTACTTGTATTAACAGATATCTCTGTTCATAGCATTGGTATAAATAACCCGACTAAGGTACTTTCTGAAAGTTATGACGAAAATTTGTCTATGAGGAAAAAAGGTAAACGGTCATGTCAACAATAGGTACGAGCCAAGAATTTGAGTTTAACATGAGTCCACTACGGCTTGTAAAACATATAATCTGACATATTTTTAATCAATGATGTAATTTCTTTTTTTCAGTAAAACATGAATAGAGTTACGGTATTTCGTTTTACGACTGTAAAACGTTTTGATCTAACAATTGTGACTATTTTTCTCGCCTGCGTAACAATCAGTACGTGATCGCGCCCCTGAACCCGTGGTTTTTGTATGCCTGTCTCTCCAGCTCAACGGTCCGACAATAAAAAAATTAGATTAAAAAAGTTGATATATTTTCACGCCTGCGTGCGTTGGAAAACTATTGAGAGATTGGTGTCGTGCTAAATGACTAGATATGTCTCGGGGGATAATAAAAAGATAAAGATGAGAAAACTACTCTGTCAAAAAAAAAGTTGTACTTTTTGCCGATTTGCTTAAACTACCCGACTATATACATAGTTTCAAATAAAAATTAAATCAATAAAAAAAACCACTGTAAGATCTACACGAAAAAAACTAGATTTAAAAAAATTCCTCCACAAACTTATTTTTTGTCTGTTTTTGCATTGACCTTTTGTCTTCGGCCATTTGTTTTGTTTTTTTAATTTGTTCGTTATAAATTGCAACGAGTTCGATTGACAAAATCGACCAGAGCTCGATAAACGTCGAAATCTTTTGTACATATTAAGAATTTATTATTGTAAGGTTTTGCGATTTTGCACTGGTCTATCGCACCGAACATAATCTTTCTTTCTTCATCATATCTTCTGCTATGATATACTATATGTTCCGCATTTTCTATTTGGTTGCATATTACATAGATCATTGTCTTTCTTTCCTATCAGTATGCATTACAGATGCAATGGTTTGACTGTAGTCTGACTATCGTAACAATGACTTGCCTTTCATACGTTTCTTAGGTGAATCAAGGAACGTATCTGACTTTCGGAAAGATGTATTTATACCACTGTCCATTGCTTGATTACCTATATCTATTCTGCCACTCTTTTAATAACATTGATGGCATCGTAATGGGATATTTTCAACTCTTTTTCTATTTCTGATTTTTTTGTAACTGACGGCCAGTTCGTTGGCTTTCTTATTTCCTTTCAATGAACAGTGGCCTCGTACCCATAAGAATAAATTCCACAAATTTAAAATAAACACAATTTTTAAAACAATTCCCAATAATCATTAAGATTGGATTTTATTGTTGTGTCAATGTTTTAGATTGAAATGACGGGAGGCGTTTTGTTGATGGTGGTCGGGTTCTGTCTGGCAGCCCAAAGCGTTGAAGTTTCAGGGCAGTGCCCTTGGGATCATCAAGTCACTGATCTTCAGTCGTCATGTATCTGTGCTTACAACTTGCTTCAGCAGCTGTCAGTACAGTGCGACATGGTAGACTTCACTCAACTTCTGAGGTCTTTAGATAAATTCAGCAGGGCACAACCTATTGATTTACTTTATGTAAACAATAGCTCGATTAAAGCGTTAGCCTCTGGGGGGTTCAAAAATCTCAGACTGACCAATCTGCAGTTATCAAGCTGTAGGATCAAGACTATCTCAATTGGTGCATTCGAAGGCCTTCATGCGACTTTGAAGAATCTTTATCTACAAGATAATGAGATTGAAGAAATACCAATTGATGCACTTAGGCCCTTAAAAAATCTAACTACTTTAGATCTTTCAAAGAACAAAATTCTAAAAGTGAGTATTAAATAATTTAGCAAATAATAAATTTTGAACCGTTACACATTTTAATCATATAAATTATTACCAGGTGCCAGATAATGCTTTTGCAACCCTTGAAAATTTGGCGACATTAAAATTAAATGACAATAATTTAACAGTAGGAAGAAATGCATTTAATGGCCTGGAAGCATCCTTAAAAAATCTAAATTTAAAAGCGACAAGACAGAAGAAAATGCCTGAAGCTGTCAGAAATTTGAGAACACTAGCTTTCCTCGACTTAGCTCAGAACGCCATAAGAGAGCTCCCAGGTTTTATTTTTTTAATTTTTAAAAGTTAATTAATAAAAATGACACAGAATTGACAATTTTGTTATTTAGGTCCAAGTGGTGCAACAATAATGGATGGTCTTAATTCACTCACAGCCCTAAATCTTGAGAGGAATGTAATCCAAACTATTAGTGACAATGCTTTTGTGGGAATAAGCGATACTTTGAGTTCACTCAGCTTACTGAATAATTTACTAACAGACTTCCCTACAGGAGCACTTAGGCCTCTGTCAGAACTTAGAGTTTTGGACATTGGGTTCAATTTACTCACAGAACTGCCATTAGATGCTTTTGTCGGAAATCCTTCATTGACACTCTTAGCACTCGATGGCAACCCTTTATCAACAGTGCCTGGTCCAGCAATTGCACACCTTAATAACACCTTGAGAGGGCTTTCACTGGGAGGACGATTTCTGCATTGTGACTGCAGGCTACGATGGGTGTCACAGTGGATAAGAAGGGGTGATCTTCAAGTCACTTCAAGGGAAAGAAACCCTCAATTTTGTGGTTCACCTCCAGGTTTAGTCGACAAGAATTTTTACAATGTTGAACCTGAAGGTATGAATTGAGAAAGCAAAATATTTTATAATGTTCTAAAGCAATCTGTTTTTAGAACTAGTATGCTCTACGAGTAAACCAGGAATTGCCACTGCTGTTGATGATAGTGAAGAAGAAGCCATACCTTTAGAAATAGGTGTTGGTGTTGGTTATGTTGAACCAGCAACCACTACAACAACTACCACATCAACAACAACAACCACAACCATACCTACTACTACTGTTGTAACTACAACCTCGACTACTACACCAAAACCAACAACCACACAAAAATCAACAACACCAAAGCCAAGAATCACACAAACCACACCTTCAAGGAGAGGTAGTGTTGTGCTGTCGAGGGGCACTACTTGGCCACAGCAAAACAGGCCTCCACTTGTTCTCGGTCACCATCCCAGGTATGGTTATAGTCAATAGTTCCAAATAATAATCAATTAATTATTTGATATATTTATATTTACAGGGTTCCTCAAGATGTTATCGTTCGCACAGCACATCGGCAAGATAATTCTGTTATAATACAATGGGACTCAGAAACAGCAAATATTCTTGGTTTTAGAGTAGTTTACAGATTATTTGGTGATAAAAGTTTTAAACAAGGACCTCCATTAGAAGCCAGTGAAAGAGAGTTCAAAATCAAAAATGTCCCTTCTCAGGTATTAATTTTTTTTTGTTTTGTGCCGGTGTTTTTGAAAAAAAAAAGCCCATTTGTAAGTACGTGTACAGTGTGAATGCAGGGCCGCTGACTATTTGATACTGGGACCTTTTACCTTACAGTGATGAGCGCCGTGTAAACGCCTAAACCGTTGCGGCCACCCCCTATTAAATTATTATTAAAATTGTCATTATCAGATTCTTTAAATCTAAATGCAAATTTTTATTTTTGACTAAACTTATACCTGACAGTATCATAATTGATTTTTAAAAAATAATTAAGCAATTTTGTTTCAACATTTATAAGATTAAATTTAGGGTAATGAAATAGATATTATTTTCAATAATCTCAGAATAAGCAAAGTTTTTACAATTAAATCTAAACATTTTATAACATAAATACTACAAATATTTTTCGGTATTAGTTTAAAGATATCTCGTCTTGTGTTTCTTTGTGTATATTGAGACTGAATGTATTTATTTAGCGGGAATGTGTAGTGTGAGAGGGTTGGTGGTGGAATATTGGAGTACCTCAATGACCTTTAATTAGATCAGTTATAATGTATGTATAAAAGATGATGGAGGAATATCAAGTACTCTGCCACCCTAAGTGAATGGTAGATAAATAGGAAAGAATGTATTTAAGAATGAGTGAGAGTGGGATCAAGTTTAGAACTAGAAACTGATTATGTTGGGCTGAAATGACCTAGCTGTCAATAACCAACACCCTGTAGGGTGATTCTCAAGTCTTGCTGTTAATATATTATAGTTTACACAAAAATCTGGAATTTCTGATGGGCTTCGGGAAATGATTCAGCTCTGTACATTTGTTTTGGTACATACATGTGCAGAATTGAGCCCATAAATCATTAATTTTCAATGTTAAAAATTAAAGCAAACATTTGTACTAGAAATTGAATTGATATAAAAATATTTTGTTTCAGGAGTGTATTGTTGTTTGTGTAGTATCATTAGAGGAAATAAATGTGGCTCCGGACACTGTTCCGTACTCCCAGTGTAGGGAAGTGCGTACCGTCAATTTACCCACAAACAATATGGACAAAATCACGATTGCAGCGTCAGCAGCCATTTGCGGCACAGTTGTAATAGCTGTTATTATCTTTGTTGCGACATCCAGGAGGAGGACGAGAAAACTTCATACGCTAGATGGTGGAAGTGGAGGACACTCTGGGAAAATGGGTTTGCCTGTCGGTGGGCTCCCTGTCGCTTGTTGCCCGGCATCTAGTCCTGGTCCTTTGTCTTCCCTTGCAACATTAAACGCATTCACATCGCACAAAGACTGGGACCAAGTGTCTGTCTACTCCAACAGAAGTCTTTCAAGACCAAGAGGGGTCTATCATGTCACCGATAGACAAGGTACGTACAACGAGGACCTCACTGACTTCAGGCGTAAACTCTACCTTAGCCTTCATAACGCATAATTACATTCTTTACGCCTTTTCTTTTAACTACAAAAAGGAGTGTTTTCTTTATTGTAAACACTTAGTGAAATCAGTGTTCTCCTATTGCCAAAAGTACTAACATTCAAATACCAAAAATTCATAACTTTTGTAGTGGTTTAAAGTCATTTTTTTATGGTTTATAAATAAATTAACTGTATTATTTATTGTTGCACAAGGACTGGTTGACGGAGACAAAGGACTGACAACAAGACAATCTATATCTTGGGACTGTAAGAAACTGAAAAGAGACCAATATGTCAACATTTATAAAAAACAAACACACAAATACTGAACTTGGACAGCCTTAACTATTAGTACAAGTTCAAACAAATATATCAGTTTCTGGTTCAAGAGATAGATCTCTGATTAAAAAATATATATAGTTGATAAAAACCGAACTATTTGGAAATAACTAAAAAAGAGAGAAATAGTTCACATTTATAAAAACTGATATATTTGTTTTATATTTATTTTTACAAATTACCAACATAATTGTAAATAAAGTATTTTATATTGATAATGTAAATATTAGATTTTTAAACTGTTCTTGACATCTATATTTCTGGTGTTGCTTTTTTAATACTTTCCAAGCCTGAATTAATATTTATTTTTGAAATGTATTTCAAACTTCGCATGTACGAGAGATAAATTGTAGATGAAAAACCCAATTGTGTAGAGTTTGTATAAATGATAATAAAAGTAACTTTATCAATTGAATTAACATTATTACTTTCTTTTATCATGCCTTTTTATGAAATTTGGCAAAATTAACCACCTGAAGAAATATGCAAGGAAGATATGAAGGAACTTTTCTTTCTAAGCTTTGGAACTTAAAAATGCATGGAGACTTTTTAAAGCTTTACTTCTAGAATTTTTGCTCTTCCACTGTATATATGCACAGGAAAGAAGCACAAGAAGGTCAGAAGAAACACATTCTTTGTATATATACAGTGGAAATACACAAATTCTATTTCAATTTGAATCTTGGGTCTCTTAAAAAATCAAAACTACTGAAAGATATTTTATATAAATAATTTTATGTTTTTCAAGTTGAATCCAGATGTATATGCAAAAATGTTATTTTAACTTTTTTTATGATAAAAGTTCGCTCTCAAGTTGTACAAAAGTGAATTTTTATTTGTGAAATATACTTTGCAAAATTGTTAGTCCATGAATTTTATGAAGTGATAAAACAGATTTTTAAACTTCAAAGCATAAATGTTTTAATTTAAAAAGAAAAAATGGTCTCTTATTATCAAGTAGAATGAATGTTTCCCCATATTTCACTAAAATATAAACTAATTATAAAACAATTAACTTTACAATAAATCTACCTGGATTCGACTTTAAAAAAATAATTAATTAATTAATACATATCAACGAAAAACCTGGTGTGTCTATTGCCACATCCAGGATCAATTTCAAGAGGTGGGTGTGTAAATGATGAATTGAGATACGGAGGACCTGGGCATAAATCCAAACCAAGATCTGTTGCTGACGGTCAGTCCCAGCATAGTTTCTCGAATAGCTCAGGAAGATTTCTTAACAGTGGAGCTTTTACATCGGGGCTTGTCAACTCAAGGCCAGGTAAATTGTAAAAGATTCAGCACGAACTCAGTCTAATGTAAATTATTAGTGAAATAAGATTAGAATACTTGTGAAACAAAAAGACAATGACTTTAAATGATCATGACATGACATTAGACTGGCTTCGACTTTTGCACCTTCAATAACAAACTGAATGAATTGAACAATAACCTATCCATGTATTGTAGAGCTAAGGCAATCTCGCCAGTCATTGGCCGTTTCTGACAGGATGAGCCGTGTGAGCTACCCAGCCAATGCAGCACACATACACCAGCAGTCGCAGCAACAGCGCAGAAGGTCACGCAACCAAAGAGAACATACGAGACCTTCAAGCCGATACTCAACAGCAGGATCGACCCACACTCTTAACTATTGTGGTGATACTTCAGACAACTGGACTGACCATGATATGGACATTTACATGGCAAGGAATCCTACTGCCAGGGGGGGTCTTGTTCCTTTATGAAATTAAGTCATATCTAAATTGAGTGAAATTTTTTATCAAGAATTCAAATGACAAACGTACGATGAATACATCATAACTAAGCAACATTTTGTTTGAGATCATATCAATTTAAAAGAAAAATCAATGAACAATCTCAATATAATCTCATTTTATTTTATTAAAATGAGATTCAATTTGTAAATATTTTTTATTTACATGAAATCTGTAAAATATATGTACAGTTCAAACAAGCTTGTAAGTTTTAGGAAGGTGAACTTTAAAAATGAAAATAAACTACCATATAATATAGTTAGAAATAGAATTGCTCACATATCTAAACATTGCAAGCTTGTAATGTAATTTTATTAATTTATGTGGAAAAAGAAACATCGCCACAGAGCATGTACTAGGAATATTTTATTAATATACTGTGTATTTATATTTTGTATATATTTAAATTAAATAAACTTTTTATAATTAATATCTTGTTGGTTCATTCCAAAATATGATCTATTAGACTTGCTAATGGTGGAGCAATTAGCAGCATTAACATAATTTATTTTTTTAATGATTTAACCATGGCATAGATTATTCCAGATCCATGTTTAATCAATCAGTTTTTCTTAAACATAAAAAACTCAACACTGCCATTTCTTGGTTTTTGGTCACACAAACTAATATACTATTGCAATAAACCTGCAATCGTTTGGTAAAATGTAATAAAACTTTTTTGTTTATTAAAGTAAACAGTAAGGAGGACTTTTTATATCCAACTATCTACTGGGTGTAGAGGACTAGACAATTCAACCCAATCCCTACTAGGTACATATACAGGGTGACTATAAGTGTCAAAACTTTCAGCAGGTGTTTCTACTCACAAAAAATTTTCCTATAACCCCTGTCCAAATCTCAATGGTGAAGAAGTAATTTCAGGTTTTGGTTTTTTATTTTATTTTTCGACTTAGGTCCACTAAATTGCTTATAAACTTCAGAATTACTGACTTAGAATAATCTATTTGTGCCACCTGAAAGAACATTAATTTGCTGTAAGAAAACATATTTTCATTGCAGAATTGTTGAAAAAAAAATGAATTTTTTTGAAAATATTGGCTTCTAAATTTCAACTATTTTGTTTTTTCTGAATTTTGTCATCAATTCTGCAATGCTAATCAGTTTGCTTACAGCAATTCTGCAGCAGTAATTCTGAAATTTATAAGCAATTTAATGGACCTAAGTTGAAAAATAAAATAAAAAACCAAAACCTGAAATTACTTCTTTACTGTTAGGATTTGGACAGGGTTTATAGGAAGTTTTTTGTTGCATATGGTGAGTAGAAACACCTCCAGAAATTTTCAACACTTATCGCCAGTCACCCTGTATATTTGGGCAGTAGCAACTTTCATATCTGCCTAAGCAAGAATATATTTGGTACGGTGTTCCTTTTTTCCCACACTACGCCCGAATATATTCATTTTCTAAATTGCCATCTCTTGACTTTTATTTAAAATACAACTTTTCTGCATTTTCTTCTAGAATAAGCACAAGGTTCTATTTTGTTGTTTCAAGCTATGAAATGAACTTACTGAGAAATATTTTACAAAAATTAACTACTTCATTTCATATTTCAAATGTTTCAATTAAATAAAATAAAAATAAAAATAACCTTTAAACAAATTAAACGAGTTTTAATGTTTTGTAAGTAAAGCAAATAAAAATGTAACCTTATGATGAAAATCATTCATCATCATGAAATCATTCACTGTATACAATACCTGTAAGACTTCTTAGATTTGAGGGAGTGTTCAACAGTGACACGACTAGTAAAGAAAGGGTTAAATCAACTGGGAAATCGAACCCAATATGACAGTACACATAGCAATATTTTATATGCACATGAACTCAACCACTATGGTTCTGAATTTATATGTCAAAAAAAGTCTCACATTATACTTACCCTGGGGGGGGGTCAGTGGCCGCAACGGTAAGGTGAAGGTCCCGAGTTTGAATCCAGCGGCCCTGTATTCGAACCCGACATACTTACAAATGTTTTTCAAAAACACCTGCACCCTGAGGGTTTATACAACCTCTGCTGTTGCAAAACCTCGTAAAAAAAATAAAAAAATAAAATAAAATACTTACCCTGGGATAAGGTTAGATGTATTCCAACGATACCGCAGTTCTTGATAGAATTCATGCCAAAGATATACAGTAGCTTTTAAACCTCCAAGTGAAGAGAGAGCATGGGCCAACACTACTGCAAGTCTCCAAACGAGACTGTCTACAGCACAAGTTTTCATCTACTGGGCAAAATGGGAGATGAAAATAAGCACAGAAAAGTATAAAATAAATACGATTCCAATCACCTGTGAGTTGCCTTTATTTATGTCACCTTCTGATGTATAAGGATGCTTCTAAAATTAATATTTAATATAGTACAAAAACAGTTATTGTTGCTGAAATTACTTACAGGATTGTTTTCTGCATCTGGGAACAAATAATAAATAATCGGAAGAAGGAACTTCATGCTTATCGGACCTTCACTCGAAATGCTCACTTTTCTTGAAGCATATTGGGTCAGCATATTTGATAATGATGGTATTTTAGATTCTGTCAAAACACTAAGGGGCTGAAGCATATCACCAGCTAAAACTCATCAACATCAATAAACTGCAGAGAGACTATTTTTTTCCAACTTACAATCCCGCAATCCAATTTCACTTCCAACTAATTCTTCTGTTGTGCTTGTTGATGTTGAGTGGAGGACAAACTCAGAAACGTAATCTGTAAGTAAGCACGCAGGATTTTCTGTTTTCACTATAGAAAGAGCCCATATTGGAGCTTCCATAGGGTCAAAATCACTGTATGCTTCAGAATCTACGACTACGGATTCGAGGATTTCAGGCCAACATGTATGTAACGTCATTGAGCTAAAATTAAATGAAATGACATTATTTACTATTCATTTTTTTTTTTTTTTTTAATGTAGGCATTAAAAAAATAAATAAACAAGAAAACATTAGCGTGGCACATGTGAGAAGGTTTTTGTCTAGTGTCCTTCATAGTTAAATTTTGCATGCAATTAATTAAAGAATCTAAAGAATTTCATATGACCCATTAAGTTCATATGCATGTATGCTGAACATGAAGGCTCATATAATGCTAATACTAACGTGAGAGGTTCACACAATGATCCAAAAGGTACATCCAACAATGCTTCAGGGAGATCCCCATTGTTTATTTCCAAATCGGGGGATTTCGCTGTCCATTCAAATATTGACCAGTCATTTAAAACGAAAGAAAATCTTGCTGCTACATTGACAGGTTCGCCCAGGAACGTCCCCCCAATTTTGGATTTGAAGATTCCCAAAAGACCTGATAACGTGCACAAAAATCATTATTATCATTATGTAAGTATGGAGAAAGTTTAAATACCTGTGAGGTAACGGCATTGCAGTGGAATTCTTTCAAGATGCACCATTTCGAATTCCCCACGAATACCTTTTCCTTCACAAATGCCCAAATAAAAGTGTTGCCAGAAATGAAGAGCTCTCACAAATATTGGCACTTCACTGTAAAAACATTAATTAATGGACAAAAATATCAACAGAAAAATAGCAGCCAATTACCATAATTTATTGCTAAGAGCAATGCAGACAGAACTCAGCAGCAATTTGATTTTGCTTTCTTGTAAAAGCTCATTTTTAATGGGTGTTATTACAACAAAGTCCCTCAGACCATACCAACGTGCCAATATATGTGGTTTTGTATCTTCAACTCCATTCTGAAACACCGTCTCCACAGGTAGAAAATCCAACTCGGAGCTCATGATTTCCTCCAGCGCCTGAGGCAACTGGGATTTTTTTTCTCCCTGAGCAGCTTGCTCATTTTCAGTTTCTTTAACAAAGTGGTGAGTTACGGTGAAGTTGACATCTACAAAAGAAAATGAATGAGGGCAAAAAGTAAATATAACTGTATTTTGTGAAATCTGGATTAAAATATTGATGACATCAATCCGTTTATAGTTGGTTTTCTGTAGTATGGTAATACACTGTTTAACTTTAGTGAAACTTTTGTAAAATGACATAAAATTAATTAACATTTTTAATTTACATTAAGGTATTCTCATCCTCCTACATCATCCTTCATAATTGGCTTCAAACCAAGATATCTAAGCAGACGAACAATTTACCTAGAAACCACTAGACTTAAACTTAAAAACTTTGATACATGCATCAAACAACTCTATTGACTAAATGACTGTATGCTTTGTCACCATCTAGTTTCGCAATGAATTATTAACAGCCAGTGTCATCAGTGAACATCCATTGGAATGTAAAAAAAAGTTAAAAAGTGATAACAATGTCCAACTACCATTGTGTCGAGAAAGAGGATCAAACCATTTAACAATATATTTTTCATACTATTTATTAAAAATTAAAATGCCATGGGCTCTGCTGGGATTTGAACCCAGAACCGCTAGCATGGCAAATAAGAGTTGAATGCCCTAGCCCCTCAGCCTTAATTGGTCAACGGGTATGTATGTTTGTCAAGTGCACATGAACCAAAGCTAAATTCAGTAAGTATACCCTGTGCTAAATTTTTATAGTTTTAGTTATAAATGACTACATAAAGTTCATATGAATGTTCATAATTAAATGCCTGAGAAAAATATAGCAGTGGCTATAAAAGTGGCTGACATGAATTAGTAAACAATCATGTGGAATTAGGTGCAGCACTTAAACCCATAAAGCATGAACCACTATTAGGCTCTAAAATATGCTTAAAGCGAAGCTGAATGAATGGATGCATGGAAAGAGATTCTCACATGCATTACATACTGAGAGGCCAAAAAAGTGATCGCCCTTAATATTTTTAATGATCTCTTAGACAATCCTCTATTGATTACATTACAACAATATTTGGCTCGTTTTAAAGGATTAGAGGTAAAAAATACAGATAAAATCCCCCATTTATGTTAACAATTGGTAAATAAATCTTGAATAGTCAATCTCTTCTTTACCAGCTTTTTTGTAAAGCTTCTTTCTAACATTTCAGTGATTTGATTTTTTAAACTGTACCACTTTTAAGTTTCAAATTTTTTTAAAGTAATGGTTTGAATTGATACAGATTCAGTTATCAAATCAGAACATTGACAAAAGATAGAAGAAGTCAAGGGTATGTGGCCAGTGTGCTTAACATTCCCAACACAACTGTTCAAAGGGTCTTCCATCGCTACCAAGATGCTAGAGGTCACTCAATAAGGCATGGATCAGATCGCCATCGGCCACATTTCAGAGAGATGATGGTTTTATTGTTTCAAATGTACTCCTTAATTAGCATTTTGTCACTACATAGATCAAGCAATGACTTCAACATGTTAAAAATGTCAATGTCAGTTCATGCACTGTAAGGCGAAGACTTTCAAAAGCTTAATTATGTGTGAGAAGGCCTGCCACTAGTGCAGAACTTTTAAGTTTCACAAAATCACATCAATTGGTCTGAGCAAAATTGATCTGAAATCTTGTTTTTGGATAAGTCAAGGTTTTGTTTGAGGTCTTCTGATGACCAAGAAGAACAGGAAAGCGACATATCCCTTAAACATTTTCACACTGGAGAAGCTGTGGAGGTGGCAGTGTTATACTATGGGCAGGGATTTTTATGGAAGGTCGCACCAACTTGGCTTGGAAAAGTTGTTCATTATATGCTACTAATTGGTTTTAATTTTTAGCTAGGATCTTTGGTGACTGAACAGACTTCAATTCAATGTCTGGAGTGGCCAGCTTCTGACTTAAACACTACCAAACACCTTTGGGACAAGTTATCAAACAGGGTAAAAAGTCGCCAAGTGATGCCAGAAAATTTGCAGGAATTAAAACAAGTGCTGTTAGAGGAGTATGAAAATTACATTCAAAACCTCATAAAACCGTTGCCATGAGGAAGAACTGACTTGAATATTTTCTTCATTGTTACCATAGCAACATTCTGAGTAAAATTGTTTTACTCAGTTTAATTTTTATTTAGCTACTTCTTATATTTTGCTATAAATATCCAGTAAACAACAATAACAATGCAAGCATTAAAAAAAAAATCTTGCCTTTCAGTGTAGTTACTGCAAACTAAAAGTAACTGTAATTGAAGAAAATCATAATTTTTACTAGTTAAACTGGATGACACTTGATCCCTCTACCAGGTCTGTCTGTTCTCTCCAGGGTTTAGTTACTCAAATTCAGCTCACACCATCTTCAGTAAAGAACTATTAAATTACCACCTCAAAAAATGTGCTAAGAAATAGTGACATCTAAGCAACTGACTATAAAACCTTAGTTTTGATACAGTACCACCAATAACAATGCATATAACCAAATGGCACACACAAAAACACTCCACTTTTTGAACAAAAGGTCACTTTTCATGGAGTTGACATAACAAAGGGTCACAAGATAAGTATTAGCAATGTGCCCTTCTCATAGTAAATTATTATTGATGATTATAAATCTCAATCAATCAAATCTACAAAATTCATTGCTTTTAATATGACAAGGAACAACCATGTGATTCTTTAACTTGCCTTAGCATTATTGCAAAATTCACCCTAGTAAATTAGACAAATTGTGAAGTGATTTTTTTGTCATTAAACAACAATAACGTTACTTGTTTGAGCCAAATACACGTTTATGTTGAAGATTTATTCAAAAGAAACGCATTTTATTTTTTATTAATTATTTCTAAAATATCCATTTATGTTGTCATACCAGCGAATGATATATTTTCAGTGTTGCTGAGCCAGACGGGTTTCACCTTCGTTTTGACATGGTGAACTTTCCTGTTGGGAAGATTCCAGTTAAGTATAACTTCTTCCAGTCTGGCGATGAAGACTTCCCACTCAGAGGCGGTGGTGAAGTCGACGTGGTGGAGGTACTCGATGTCTTCAGAGAGCCTGCGGCTCCTGTCATCCGAGACGTCCTCGCTGTTGTCTTCCATATGTTCGATTCAAAAGTGTTTTATGAGGTGATTTTAAAATATGCGAGTAACAAGAGTTCCAAGTCTCTTTCCACAAAGCTCAACCGCTTCAGGAAAATCGTGATCAGTCGATTTCGAGTTTATTTCATCTCCGAAACAATTTTACACGTTCCTTATCATCGAGAAACAACAACAAGAGTAACCTTCAGGAGGTCATATGGACCTTATGATCTCTGATGATTCCTAGACCTTCAACAAGTTGCCAGAAAGCGCGCGAACAAATTCAACACCAAATCAGCAATGATCGTTCCGAAGAACCAAATTAAATTATGACCAGTGAAAAAACACCTTCATAAAATTTATATGATTCAGGTAATTAGAAGCAGAATTTTCTGCTGAATCAGAGGGCATAAGGAACACCATTTTTTTTATAAAATTCAAAATTTTAACTTCAAGAAATACATGGTTGTTTAATCGATATGGAGTATTTAGTATGGTCTGGCGTAAATTTTTTTTTTCATGTGTATAAAATACAATTTTTCAAGCTAAATCATCACTGTAATTCACAGCTACTTATTTACAAATAGAGTTGCATCAAATAAATGAATAGTGCTGCATCTTCAAAAACAATGGTAGATTTAGCCCTTAATAACTTAAGCAAGTCATTTAGGTATATCAAGAATTAGGGTAGGGCCTAATACCGATCCCTGTGGTAGCCAGCAATTGCATGGAGGGTCGAGTTCCCATTTTCAACAAGGACTACCTATTGCCTATTTCCCAAGAATAAGGCTATCAATTTTACTGCATAGCTTGTAAGATAACTGATTTATTATTTATATATGCTCAACTCTGCACATATGCACAAGTATACAGAGATGAGCCTAGCACTTCTGGCAGTTTATCCAAATTAAATTTTGACTAGTGAAAACATACTTTTATAAAATTTATATAATGAAAACTTTTCTGCTGAAACAATCAGTAAAATAAGGAGTACTAAAACCAACTTTAGATAGATAGATAGATATAATAATTCAGGGTATGGTATACTGCGCCCTTTAAGAGCTATTGTATCCCCTGTGCTCTGCCTAAAGCACATCGGTGAGTCCTATTTCATCAAGAAACTTGATTAATAGGCCCGGTTTCAGTGGTTGTAGTTCTTTTATGGTCACATTGTACATCCCAAAACACTTCCTCCTGCGGGCTAGTGTAGCTCCGCAGTTTGTTAGTAAGTGTGTTGGTGTCTCTTCTGCTTCTTTGCAGAATCTACATGTGCCATCTTGGATTATTCCAATTTTCTTTAGATGTCCATTTAATCTACAGTGTCCTGTCAGGAATCCTGTTAGGATTCGCAGTCTGTTCCTGCTTCCTTTAACACATTCTGTGATTTCTTTCTTGCCAAAGTTGGTTAGAAAATTCTTGGATTGTCTGTGTCCAATAAGTGAGTTCCAAAGTTCGCTCATTCTCTTTTTATCCTTCTGTCTGAGGTATTCGTTGATAAAAAAAACCAACTTTACAAAACACAAAATTTTAACTTCAAGAATTACACGGAGACGGTTTTACTCGATATGGAGTATTTTGGATGGTCTGGTGTAAAGTTTTTTATTTTTATTTATTTTTTATGTGTATGAAATACAATTTTTCAGGCTAAATCATCACGGTAATTCACAGCTATTTCTTTATAAATAGGATTGCATCAAATACATGAAGAGTGCTGCATCATCGGAAAACAATGGTAGATTTAGGCCTTAATGACTTAAGCAAGATATTTAGGTATATCAAGAATTAGGGTAGGGCCTAATAACCATTCCTGAGGTAGCCAGAAAGACTATCATTTTTATTAGATAGCTTGAAAGATAATTGATTTACTGACTTTGAACAATATAAGCGCAAATCTACACACATGTAGATGAGCCTATCACTTCTCGCAGTTCGTCAAGATTAAAATTTGCCTAGTGGAAAAACACTTTTATAAAATTTATATAATTAAAACTTTTGTGCTGAAACAATGAGTAAATTGAGCACTAAAAAAATTTACAAAACACAAATTTTAACTTCAAAAAATACATGCGTCTAGTTTTACCCGATGTGGAGTACTTTCGATACAGGCGCTTAGACTCCATTAAACTATCGATAGATCTATAGTACTATCGACTATCGCTTATCCCTACTTGAAAGTAGTAGGTACCTCCGTCTTTCCTGTTTCTAGTGTCCGCCGTTCTATAGTTGTTGTCTTTTTCCTTCTTCGTAAGTTGTTCTACACAATTCAATTCTTCATTTGTGTCAATTTAGTTCTTACTCGTGTTAAAAAAAAGAAATGACGACTGCTGCAAGGCCGACGTTTGAACCAGCTAGGGGTGGTCAGGGCCGAGGCGAAAAGGACCTGAGTGCGATCTCAAAACAATACTCGAGCAGAGATTTGCCAGGACACACCAAACTTAAATTCAGGTAACTAACTTCAGAAATGTCTACAAGATAAAACGATTGAAGAATGGTATTATTTCTTTAAAGCTAGATGTACAACATGAACATCTTGTACAGCATAAAACTATGTTCTGTTGATATGTTTGAAATTCCATGTAAAGAGGAATGACTTTCTTGAGATTAATAAATACTTTAGGTAGCTTTGTTGACAATTTGTCAGCATTGATCACTCCTGTTCAACACCCACAGATATAACTGTGTACAACAATAATCAGTGTTTGATCTTTGAAAAGCAATAGCACTACACCAATGAATGATTGTTACACTCATTTATAAACAAACATTATAAAATGGACAGTATTACAAACTTTGGGATAAAGTCAGGCAACAACTATATTGTAGGACAAATCATTAACAATTTATAGGTTCTATCAAAAGGTGTGACTTATTTAAAACTTATAACTTATACTTGTAACTTATTTCTGTTGGGTTAGAGGACATTCAGTAGTAAAAAATAATGAGATATTCAATGCAAAGAGTGGCACAAAAGAGGGAATTCTGTTAGACATTCCTATTCACCTTGGATATTCAGACATTTTTTCACACCAGAATATGGAGCAAATGGCAGAGATCCGATTAGGACTTTTCTTTTAGACAGTGATACCCCAAATCTTCAAAATTCCTTAGTTCCATCGCACAAGCATGACAAAAAATAGTGCACCGTAATCAGCTGGCTAAGATGTAATCACGGAGTTTGCGCGTTTTTTTCTGCATCGTATTAGAATTAGGGAAACCCTGTTATGCTTCGACATGTCACGTCCTTGAGGGTGTAGAACACATGATAATGAACTACAACAAATATTATTCCCACAAAACTAACTTTCAATGTCCTATAAAGAATGCGAGATGTAGAGAAGCCATATAGTTACAATCAGTCACAATGTCGGCTGTGGAAAACAATACCATTTATAAAGCCCTCCAGAAATATATGTAGACGCGGACATGTCAATTTAAATTGAGGAGTGTAATTGTTTGAAAAAATAAATAAGGAATAAATTAAAGAACAAATCAAGAAAAAAGAAGAAAAGAAAGGGAGCCCCAGCAATTTCCGATAATAGAGTTATGGCCAATTGGTAATAACAAAGGCCAAAATGGGGGGAAAATCAAAACGTTTTCTAAGCATGGTTATCTGACTGACTGCCAGTCTACAAAAAATAACTAATATTAGATGTAACACTCGGGGTGAGTAAAGGTGGCTCCAGACATGCGGTATTCACTGAATGCCGATTGCCAAGTCCCTATATGCTTGTCTTGGCATACACACATGTGGGGTTTGTACAACCTCCAAGTTTGTGCAGATACAGCGAATACATATTTTCCATGTGATGTACGATTCTTCAACTTACTACCAATCATGTTGAACAACAGTGCAACTGTCATTGCTGCACCTGCGGTTTGTTTTGTTTGTGTGTAGTGGCTACAAACTCAGCCACAAATCAATCACAGAGTACAGTTGCCCCATCTTACTTTCGATACGTTTCCGTGCATCGCAAACCTTGTTCTGATTTTTTCGATTTGGAAGAGCAGCATTCCAAATTATTGGTTCAGCGTGGTACTGATTGAGGAACTCCAAGAATGTTATGTTAGGCCAATCCTTTTCTAACCAACAGAAGCAACACTTGTTCTTTCATTAATACATCTATACAAGTTAGGAATCGTTTATTATTTAAAAATAAATAGCTCTAAAAGAAGTAAATACTTACGGTTGATTTACGTACAGTACAGACATGATTCCATATTGTGCTTTGAATTTGGCTACTTCACAAATATTTTGTGAACTTTAGAGCGGACAAGAAAACCGACAATTAGACAAGCAAGGTGAGCACTGAATATTCGGCGAATAACTGATTTTTTAAATATGGTTGGGGGATGATGTAGAAGACAATTCATATGGTGCATAAACATGCTGTTCCTTCTGTAAATCGATGTCTACAAAATAAGCATTTATGTAATCTTAACAACTGATAGTCATTGTCTTTAGATATTTCAGAAACATTACGCATTGCATAAACATTTGTATTAATAATTGGTTGTAATTTAAAGGGAACATGGTCAAGGAACAAATGAGGAACTTAGAAACCGTGACTTTAGGCGAGAACTTGAAGAAAGGGAAAGGGAAAAAACTGCCACAAGACCTCGTCTTACTGAGCCTCAGTAAGTATTGAATAATTACTTTTCTCTTTATTAATTTTTTAAAAATATTTTTATTTTAGCAGTAAAAGGCCAAAACTTGATCAAGTGCCTGCAGCGAGTCTTGATGCAGATGACCCCCTCGATGACGAAGATTCAGACGATGCAGATTCAGATGATGACACTGCAGCACTACTTATGGAACTCACTAGAATTAGGAAAGAAAGGGCCGAGGAACAAATTAGAAAGGTTAATATTTATATTTTAAAAGAAAATGGAAAAAATGTACCTAAGCTAAATTGAAATTTTTGATAATAGGAACAAGAAAAACGCCAGGAAGAAGAAAGAATCAGAATGGAAAATATTTTGAGTGGGAACCCTTTATTAAATTATTCTGCTCAAGCTACAAAAAGTGATTTAAAAGTAAGTTCTTTTCAGTTTAAATATTAAAAATTATTGTAATGTAAAAATTATTGTTGTTTAGAGAGTCTTGTAACATTGTACTTACAGGTCAAGCGGCGATGGGATGATGATGTCGTATTCAAAAATTGTGCTAGATCCGAGCCAAAGGAGAAAGGCCAGTTCATCAACGATTCCCTTAGATCTGACTTCCACAGAAAATTTATGGAAAAATACATCAAATGATTTTTTTTTTCTTTAAACCAATGCTTTATTCCAATAGTTTGTTTGGTATTACTTTAGTTTTAATTATAAATATTTTCACAATTTTGTATACTTATTAAAAAAGGGTTACCTTCGTTATATCTTTTTTTATTTATTTTCTTTTTCCTTTTGAGTGTTGTACAATTTTATATGTGATAAATAGACATAATAATTATATATATAAATAAACATTAATATAACATTAACAAATACAAGCTGATAAACAATAACCAAAAGTATTTACAAGTAAACAAGTGTAAACAATTTTTTACAATTTTATCCTTGCAATTTCATCTGAAGTAAAATCAACCCTGCAAAAGAAATTTGTTTTTATAATAAAGATTCAATTTGAAAACAACTGTTTCTTTCGATTTACCTCAATTTCATAATTTTCTTAATGTCAGACAGCGAGAGGCGCCATGTGTGACTAGACGTTAAATAATCGGAAATTTCCGACGCCCTTTCTAAATTGAGAATTGTCGCTATCTGTGTGAGCCTTGTAAATTTTTCTCTCACTGACCATGAAGTTGTCGTGCTTAAATAACTTATCAAACCCCTGACTTCCTTGTCGAGTGCAAGACCGCCCAACTGAAATTAAAAACATCATGAGACACCTTTACTTCGTAAAAATCATACTTGCGAGTCAAACCATACTCTATTAAATTCTGATTTCATTATAACTTTTTCCAGCTGGGAATTGACCTCAGTAGCTACAAGAGTGACCAAACTTTCGTAATTAGAAGGCGTCAGAGACTGTTTAAATTCAGCAAGTAAATTGTTTATGTTGCCTATCAGTCCTCTAATAAATGGTTCATTCGCTTCATAACTTGAAAATTCTTCCTAAAAATAATTAATATAAATAATTTTTAAATTTATAACAAAGAATATTAAAAAAAAAAAAAAAGTACCTCAGTTAAATTATGAGAGAGGCTTAAGAAAACATCAAGCCAAGATGTTATTCTAGGTTTGATCACTATATTTCCAAGCTGCTGCAACCCTAGCTCCTGGGCCATTCCCATAGCTGCACTTACGCTACTCAAACCTGCTAAACAGCTCTCTAATTTGTTTCTTTCTAGGTCCGTTACACATTGTACTTCTGATACAAGGCTGCTGCACAAAGTGTCGACGTATTCACTGCCGACTTCAGTATTGTTCAAATAAGCCTAAAAGGTTAAAATATTAAATAATAAACAAAGAAAAAAAATATTTTCATTAAGCTTTTGACTTACGATGAATGTGGTTTTGACTTGCTCTGAATCTGAAGACTGCAGTCGTCCCCCTTGTATCATAACATTATAAGCTTGTGTTAAATCCAAATAACCAGATGGAAATCCTTGCCCCATGCTGTTTAGAAGAGTGCTGCACAGTTCAGTTTCAATAACTGCACAGGCGTTATTTATTACAGTGCAGACTCCGTCGATATTTGATGTACCACTTGCTCTCCTGAAATTGAATAAAATTTCTGTAAAAATTTTATACAATCATGCTGTTAAAGAATCTGATTCTGGATACCTTATACACTTTTTGACAATGAAAAACACATCATCAATCATGCTAGATGTTTGTGCTCCTGGTTCAACTGTGTCCATCGATATGGCTTTTCTGACACTTTCTTCCATAAAGTAATACTCAAACAGCAAGTAGTTGCTAAGAAGATCTTGCATCAGGCGACAAACATCAGATGACGCAAGTAGAGCATCAAGTTCTTTCAACCTTGTTTCAACTTTACCATTTGTGACATCACCCTAAAAAAATGAAATGTTATCTACATGTCTTCAAATGTTACTTATTATTTATTATTTGCAATGTTATATACCAGGTAACCAGAAAAGTTCATGTGGGTTTAATAATTGTCATAAAATTGGTTATTCGGGTACCTTTCTCCCAATGAATCACTAGCACAATTATGTTCTTTGAGTAAAAGTTTAGGTCTCGGGACTTTAAATTCAGCTCATTTTCAAGCAGTTGACGATTTTTTAATTCCTAATTGGCATATGAATGTCTATTGCTAAGACAAGGTGAAAGATGGGGTCTGGAGAGTACGGAGGGTGTAGCTTTCCAATCAAGCTGCATTATTACCTCCTTTGTCGTTCTGCCTGTATGAGGTATCATGTTGTCCTGGTGAAAATGACACCTTTTCTGTTTAAAAAAGCAGTTGCTTTTGGACCAGGGAAAGAAATACTCAGTCGACTTGAGTATATTTTTGTGCTGATGGTCAGGCCAAGTGGTTCATAGTGCACAATGCCTGTCGTACTTCACCAAACAAAAAGCATCACTTTTTGTCATTTTCAGGTCAACAGGGCAGGGTCATTGATGACAGCCAATGGTACTACATCCTGCTGTTACTCTGCAGGATCCATTTTCCGGTCAAAAAACATCTACTTTTGCAGCAATGAAAGGTTTAGAAGCCGTTGGTCAATTTATGAGGAACCCATCTCATCTTCCATGTCTACAAGTCGATGTAAGCTAGAGTGAAGGGATCATTGCTTACATTGAACTCTGGCAAGCTCCTGACATGTTTGACTTGAATCAAGTTTGATAGCGTAACACAATTAGTTGTCGTTCAAGACAGGCCTACCAAACCGTGGTTCATCTTCAATCCAAGACAACACACGTAGATCAAAGAAATAAACTTTTTGAAGCACTTTTGGGCAATGCACTCACTTATTGTTTCAGACCGAACACAGTAGAAATTTTACGAGCTGCCTTGGCCACCCTAGTACTGATATTATATTATTTATTCATATAATAAGCATGAACAAATTAAGGGCTTGAAGCATGAACAAATTAAGGGCTTGAAGCATGAGAAAGAAAATATTTCATTATTTGCAGTGAACTGTTTAAGACACTTTTTCTTCATGAACTGAGGCATTATCCTCTTGGTATTACGTGATATAAATAATAAATGAAAAACCATACGAACTTTTTCGGTTACCGGGTATAAACAAAGTAATTACTTAAAAAATTATAATAGATCTTTACAGCAATTTTCCTTCTAAGAAATCTGCAGTATAAATTATATCTCGATTGAGTGAAGGTGATTTCACCTAGAAGTTGGTCAAGGTCTTTTGGGTTTGGACGGTTGACTGCAGTAGACCGGTTGCGATCCTTCACTGCAGTAATTAATTTCTCCATTTGCCTATTTCTCCACATTTCATTGACTATCGTTTTACATTGGCGATCGCATTCTTCCTGCAATACTTTTACCACCTTCAGTAAATGTCCCGGACCTGTGAATCATTGTTAAGCATTAGCAAAGTGCGACATTTGCACTATTAAGCAAATTCATAGATTTACCGTAATAAGATTCAACCAATGGCTGATGTATTTCTATAATACGTGCGATATCTTCAAAAAGTAGTGTGATCACATCAGCATAAATTACACTGGCTCTTTTGTCTGAAGGTTTAATTTCATGAGCCATTTTTAGATTGTTTTTTGAAGAAACTTGTATCTGCAATTAGGCTGTCATTAATAATTGACTCAGTTAATTATAACTGACATATATTACTTTTGATGATAAATAGTTTGAATATTTTTCTAAACCATGATCGTGCATATCAAGTAATGGAAACAACTTAAAAAATCTCTCAACCGAAGCACTGTCTTCTGCTTTGATAGCTTCAGAAAATTTTGTGCTTAGGATGTCTCTTAATTTGTTTGCTGCTTCTTGGAGCACAGATATTGAATTGTTTACTGTCGCCGAATCTTTACAAAGAAAAAAAGGATTATTGAAAAAAAAAAAAAAAAATTCCAAAGGAAACCTGTACATTACCTTGGTTAACATCATCGGCGGTTTTTTCCAGGAGTCTTTGATCCATTGACAGATATCTATGAACATGAGCAGCAGCTTTTTCAAAATCACCCGTGCTCATTGACGACTTCACCCCAGCGCAACAAAGTTGCAGGTCCAACAGGTCATGCACCCTTTTCTGACATTCAGACACCCGGCTCTTTAAACAATTGGATAATGAGTCTTTTTAAAATGGCCGTCGTTTAATCTTAAAACGCACCCTAGCCGTATCTAGCTTTCTGACTTTGTAGCTGACGTTTTCAGCTAAGTTTGAAGCAAAACCAATCATTTCTGACAACTGAACGGCGTCTGAATTTACCAGTTCAAGATTTGGTAAGATTTTCACGATATTTTTCACCTTCGCCTCTAAGTGACAATGTCGAGAAAGCAAGTTCTGCAACTCTTTTTCTACATTTTCCTTGAATTAAACAAACAATTAGTCTTCTAAAAAAATACAATTTTTATTTTAAAGATAATTAAGCTTAAAAAACAATTTAAAAATAATTTATACACATCGTCTGGTTTGTGAACAGCAATACACTTTTTAGGTGATTCTAATCAGGGAGAATTATTTATTAAGATTGTTGATTCTGAATTTATCTAAAGTTAAAAGCTTCAAAAGTAAAAAAATTACACAGACAGATCAAGCTTAGAAGTAAAATTGAACAAATGAAAACAATTGAAAACAAAATGACCTCACACTGCAATAATTAACCGGTTGGAAAAAACCAAAAGAAGTTCCTCAACACCTCACCCATGAACACAAAATTCACTCTCTCTCTCCCCCATCTTGTGCTATCCTCGCTGGGTTGGTCTGTTAGACGAGTAAAAATAAAAAGTGATGGAACACTGTAAATGGCAAAATTCCACATCGCATCTGACAGATCAATCCAGATAAGATAGGCAAACCAAGATCGTATTACAAGCCTATTTAATTACTACCTTATAAAAAATGGGAAAAATTTAAAAACCTGTTGAATCTTCCATGAAACAGCAGACATTGTACAATGCCCAATAAGGTTGCAAAGTATTATCCTAGCCTGGAGACCATAAAGCCACTTTGCAAAGAGAACATTAACACCTAGGGAAGTTAGCGAAGAGGAATACTGGAACGTTCTCAACTACTCTGGGGTTTGAAAATAAAGCAAGATCAATTCCACTATAAATTTTTTAGGTTGCAAAGGACAAAAAATATATTTATAGCTACATTTAGACATCAGAGGCAATGGGGGAGGGGGGAGTTTGTAAATTTTTCGCATCTGTACATAACTCTGATGTTTTAATAGTGAGTGATAACAATTTTTTTTTTAAATTGTCAAACGTCTTTTGTCCTCTAAGCAGAGAGGTGGTTCAGCCACATTACAAAAGCCCATTGGTACAAAGACAAACTTGAACCCCTGAATCAATGAGGGATGTGGAGGTTGTGGCACAGCTTCTGTACATTCCTTGGATGGGACTGTGGTTCCATTATGTGAGAGAAACATCTTGGAGGCCCTTGCAAGGGCAAAATTGTAGCCTTGAACATGTGAGGAATGTGGAGATGGTGGCACACTATCTGCTCATTCTTCAGAAATTAGAAAAGTAGGTAAAAGTACAGGGAAAAAATTGTCTATCTTTAGTCCTCTAAGCTGCATTTCCATTGTGACCTATCAACACTGGAAGTGCCACGAAGGGCCTTACATGATTGAAGCAATGGAACTGTGAGAGATGTGGAGGTGGTGGCACAGCATCTCACATCCCTCGAAAGGTAGAAAAAAGGTGAAAGTATGAAGAAAAAAATTGTCAAATTTTTGTTGTCCTCTGGATAAAGCAGTGGTTCCATCAAACAACAGAAATGCCTTGGAAAGCAAAAATAAAAGCCCTAGGCCTTTGAAGAATGTGAGGTGGTGGCACAGTAATAAGTAAAAATGTATATCTTCTGCCCTCTGAGAGGGACTGCAGTCTTTGGATTCCGCCTGTCTTGCGTTCTCAATTGATGTGTACAAGGCATAAAATTACCCAAGTTCAACTCCTTTATTTAATCTAAAAGAAATTTTGGTTGATTCTATGCAATTATAGATTATCAAATCAACGCAAAGGGTGAAAAATTAATATGTGGGTAACAATATGAAATTTTGTGACCCTGGAGCGGGCAAAATTCTTTTTTGGAGACTACAAATTTTAATTTGACCTTCTGACCTTTAAATAAGAATAAATTCAAGATAGATCCATGAATTCCATAATAACAAAGTTTGTTAATAAGTTTTAGAAAAATCAAATTGTACCTCATCGTCACAAATTTTTAGGTACAGAGGCTTATATTCCTCTTCGATAAACTCCAAAGAAGGAACACAACGAGGTGGCTCCATGTTATCAAATGATTTATTAGAAAATTAAAGCAAATTGTCGTTTATGGTTTTATGTGGTAGATGTTTAAACATGACAACAAAAAAACCACAGGAGCATGACAACAGCGAAGAGGTTCTACTGTCGGCAGTGTCGACGTATTCACCAGGAAAATAAAAATAACAAAAATTCGACAAAACAATTAATTTATTTTAATCGCTTATAAAAATAGTTATTTAAATAATTTGAAACGTTTTAAAAATGGGTTTTTGCAGGATTGAGAAACAATTGCTAAAAGTTTGAAGGAATTTGATCATCTGCGTTTAAAGAAGGCATGTGAAGGGTCATGAACAGTCTTCTTCCGACTGGGCGAACCGTCCTCCATTCCTTTTCTCGTCTCGCTAGTTGATAGATCGGATCAAGCCCAATCTCGTAAATCTCTAAGTTTTTCTTCGGTTAACTCAAACCGAAATGAGAGCCAAGGTAAATACAAACTAAAATATTTAATTTTGAAATTTGTATTTTGAATTTTTTCGTTTTAACGAGTTTTGAATTTTTCAGTGGAGGAAGAAGAGAATGCGCAGGTTGAAGAGGAAAAGGAGGAAGATGAGGGCGAGGTCCAAGTAGACGTCTTTAAAGTAAGAATAATATATTTAAAAAATATATAAATAACCATTTTCTCCTTATAAATTGATATTCTGCCTGGCTTGTAAACGTGTAATGACTCCACATGGATGCCCTTTTGGCTGACCTCAATGCCTTACAATAAGCGCAAAGTCTATTTCAATCCATAAAAACCAATTTTGTTTAACGTAAATTACAATTTGTGGTCAATTTTTTGTTTTTGGACACATTTAAAATGACGCGTCTAAATTTATAGGTTACGCCAGCCATGTGGATAAACTTTGTAGAGCCATGTTGGAAAGTTAAATATAAATAGTAACATTATTAGTATATAAAATATATTCAATATTTTGATTATGTGTATTGCTTTATAATTTAAAATCTGACGGTTTTTTCTGAAATGTACAACCTTTGTTTTTAAATTGGCTTAAAAAAAATTCTTGGGTTAATCGGCCGTTGGGATTATCAATTTACTGTTTTGACCTAGTTCAATTTACGGTGTTTTTTTTTTTCCTTTTTGACTGGCTAACAGTTATTCTGCATTTCACATTTTAATACTTTTTTTTATACGTCTTTGTTCATAGCTTAGTAGACACATGGGCTCTCTCCATAGACATCTCGCACATGGCGAAGTGTCCAAATTCAAACATTATTATACCAACAGCACAAGTGATAAATAAAAAGCTATTCTATTCCTAACCTAACTAGGTTGACAAGTCTGCGGGTACTGTGCATTCTGCCACAGACCAGTCCATCCACACTTAGACTTCTTTCGGATGAGGGGACTAGTACGGAAGGAGTGAACGTGGTAGCAAAATGTTTGGGAATCACCCAAACCCAGTCAACTCATACACCCAGGCACAAGTGCCGCTCATGTCCTCATCCTTGACGATTGACTATTGACTCAACTCAAGACACTGCTCAGCATTTGCCTTCACACCAGTTGCTTAGTTGAGTCAACTGAGTTCAATATGGGGTAGTTCATTGAAGATATTCATATTAGTCCCATGATATGGGACTTGAGGTGTGAGGAGTATAATGATAAAATTAAAAGAATCCAAGGTTGGAGGGAAGTAGCACAACAGTACTTGAGAGAAAGCGTCTGTTTCCCAATTTTATAACGGATAAACCAACACTTTTCAATACTGGGTTTCCTCCTTTTTTTGCTTCTCTTTTTGCAGAAGAGCAAGCACAAGAAGTGTCCTCGGGTTGTAACATTATACTGACCTCCTGTTGGGAAGAGATGTTGATTCGACAAGTTGCCTGGTGTGAAACCAGCAGAGTTCACACGGCAGTAAACTAGTTGAAAGTAAACTGGGCAACTTAGTTGAATCGACCACAAACCGCCTCATCTGAAACAGGCCTTAACTACTCATGCAAATAGATATTCTCACATATAGAGCCTTTTAAACCATTTGTACATCTCCAAATTGGGGAAGCACCAGGGTATCCCTCCAATCCCACTGCATACATTCACTATATAGGTCTGTGGGGGGACTCCATGTTGTGTCACAGACCGGTCCATTATACTTATCAACATCTAACCTAGGTCATTTCAGCCTCCAGCGCAATCCGTTTCTAAATCCAAGCCCATTCACACTCTCACTCACTCTTAACGCTTGTACTGCTACCGCCATAGCAGAGTGTATCAAAATAAACAGAATTTTTTCAATTTTTCAAAGTGAACTGCTGACGAGTTTGCATTATCATGAAATTCGAATTAACAAAGGCCTTACTACATTCTTTGTTATTTATATAGCTTCACTTAGGGTTGTAGAGTACTTGATATTCTTCAAACACTCGCCACACATATGTAACTATTCTAATTGAAGGGTACTCGGTATTCTGCCATTAGCCCTCTCACTACACATTTACGTCAATAAATATGTTAGCCTCGACAACTAAGGATACAAAATACATATGTCAGTACCATATATGATAAACTGCCTCGATTTCCTCCCAAAATTATAATATGGGACAGAGGTACTCATTTACTGTGTTAAACCACAATTCTCATCAGGTGACATTATTATGCAATCTACGGAGCCAAGGAACGACACAGTTAAATTAAGTGGAACAAGTCAAACCTTATTTCTCTGCATACTGGACATTAATTAATCTTATTAATTTTCATTTTCTTCAATTGTTAATAAAGGATTCACACAGTTTGGTCATTCCCAATTTACTTTGTCAGATCTCAGCATTTTGCAATTTCCTCTGGGCAACACGTTTACTTGAGTTAACTAAAAACACTCCCTTAACATGAAAAATTAACTAACAACTGACTAACGAAAAATATATACTTTCATCAAAAACCCTTACAGAACTCGACTGCAAGATGATAAGTGAAACACATCTAGCAGAGAAAATCAATGAAGACAGGATGATCAATGCAACTGCAGAGTTTGTAGTTCGGTTGTTTCTGATAGTCGTGGTAACCTTTCCTTAATGATTTGGTCAATCTGCCATCTGTGGTTACTCTGCCCACAAATAAAATTCAGGAAGTTCTACCAAAACTAAACTAGGGATATTCTTTGTTAGGCTTAACACACTATCCCACAGTTTTAAATATTATTTTTAATAATTTGTGAAAGGAAGTCTTGTTAAATTTAAATATGATGGTTTATATAAGATATTTTTTATTTGTAATTTATTGTTTCTGTTTGGTCTAATCTGTTTTTGTTTTTTAGGTTGGAATGATTTTGCAACACTTTTATTTTCAAGTTATTTGATCAGCAGCTCCTCAACAGACATGAAGCATACATTTTTTGTAAATTTCTAATTTACTGACGATTAAAAATTGTTCCATACTTCAAAATAGTAAATGTCTTTTTATTTTCCTGAAAAATCCTTTTGCAGTTACCAGTTTTTTCTCCCAATTTTTTAATGCAAGAAGAAAAACAGTTTCCTTGCCCCTAGCACAACGGCGATGGCTTGTGACCCATGAATTGGGGCCAGTGTATAAAGAGCGAGCGCTTGTAAACTCCTCCCGAACCAGTATCCCAGGATCTAATCTCACCAGCCCCCTATATAATTAGAATCACTATCATAGCATATACAAGTTGGGCACTAATGACAAGGGTGGGGTCATAATCCTCCAAAGCGCTGTGATGGCTGATGGGTTACTCAATATTCCGGTTCTCGCTCCTTCACACAATGCACAACTGTATACAAACAAGTGTGACACTGAGTGACCTTTGACAAGGTACATCTGTTTGCCACAAATGTAGATGGCCGTATGTCAATCTGATGTAACCCATCCTAAATGGGTGAGCATAATACAGTTTTCTTGCATTTCAGACTACTGTAGAGCGTTGTTCAATCATGCAAACTTGCAAGAGCTTTTAGGACAATCCAGCATACTGATGCTGCTAACATTCTTTTATTGCATTATTTATTACTTATACAGCATCACCGAGCCAGGGTCCCAGTGGTTAGAAGTGCTTGTTGAATCCAAGAGGGTATATAATTTTTATATCTATTCAATGTAATGCACCTGCACTGAAGAGGGCTCAAGTAAGAGTCGAAAATGTTATGGAAATAAAATTAGTTCAAAACCTGTAACATATTGTTAAAGAACCTATAATTCGAAGAATATATTTAAAAAAAAAGCAAATAATAAAATTATGTAAAAATGTATAATTTGTAATTAACCTGAGGTCGGTCCCTCGCCAGTATTAATTATTGGAATTATACTGTATATATGAAACTGCATATTACAACAATCAGTAATTTTAAACAATTATAAAAGGAAATATGAATAAAATACATTAAAAAAATTTAAATGCTCGAAAGAAACTTCAAGATTAGAGTAAACAATGATCACGAAAAACCTTGTGATTTGATGAGGAAGGGATGGCACTAAAGAAAAGCTATTTACCAATAACAAAGTTTATTTACTAACATAAATATAAATATAGTCTTTTATTTTTAATCTCCCTTATCAGTATTTAAATAGAAGGCATACAACAAATCTGAACTTTAAACAGATTAACTAGAGAGATTAATTGTAATAAAGAGGATTAACCCTAAACCAAAACATTTCTTGAAAAAATAATATTTTCTTTCATAAAAAATATACAATAATGTGGTCCACAAATGTTTAATCGAACATTTATTTACAACAATGATTAAAACAGGTAACGGTCATTTTCTTTTAAACTTATATATATTCAAATGACTAGTTTAGCTTTATTTTAGGATATATTATATAAATATATATATTTTATCGGTTAAACGAGAAGCATATGTTTTTATTTCCATACTTTGATAACGCCGTCTCTAGCAGCAGTGACCATAAAGCACTGTGAAGACCCCTGGCACATTGTAATGTCCGTTATAGTGTTATGATGGCCGGTTGCCGGCTGGTCAGGGCCGGCTCTGGGCGATTCCTCAACACTTGGACCTTTTTGCTTACACTTTGTTTGTACCTCATGAACTACATTTGTACCATCAATTAAGCGACATCTGTAAGCAAAAAATAAATTAATTGAATTAAGAAGTGCATTTATTATGTTTAAGTAATTCTGGGTTAAATCCTTACCACTTGTACCAATCATTTTTACACTGTTACAATTCAATGCAATGAATATTGATTAGCCACATATTTGCTATTAATGTGATTAATTAATAAGCTGCATATATCATTTGAAAGTACGAAAACAACAAAAGTGCATCTTTTGATTAGCAAGACACAATTTTACTTTTAAAATTATGCAAAAATATTTTTTACAATGTTATTGAATTTTAGCATAAGCAGTTTTAGCGTGGAATAAAAAAGTATCATATTAAGCCATTTTAATTGCTGGGCTCATTTTGGGCTGTAAATGAGCCCCGGTGTTGCAAATTGCCTAGGCTGTGAGAACTGTAAATACAAACAAATGACCTCATTGGATAAAAAAATCCTACCACTATGCATATCTGTGAAGGCTTTGGCTGCATACTGCCCGAGCGATATCTTTCCAACTTAGGCTAATGGGGAAGCCCATAAGACTAAGGGAGACAACCTAACAGAAAACTACTCCAAGCTAAAGTGTTGAGTAATGTGCTAAGGGTTAAATGTCACATGGTAAGTTGCGGTCCTTAAGATTCTTTTTCAAACAAGACAATTAGTTAATTCAACTTAGTTATACGGGTAGGTGTAAAGAGTGTAGCAGGATAGCAAACTCTATGAAACCACCCGAACCCCTTTAAATCATCTACTTAGGTAAGCTAGTACGCACAAGTACTGCTAACATCTCATCCCCACTGGTTGATTCAACTCAAAAGACATTAGTTGCAATTTGGCATTTGCGATTTATACCTTCACCTTCAAATTGGAAAGTTTTTCATGAACCTAAATAATGTTAAGGGCACATGGCATTAACTAATTAAGAGCCAATCATGCATCTCAATTGAATCAATTAAAACTGCCTTGTGTGAAACTAGCCTTACAATTCCTCTGGAGGCAACAGGTGCTACCTTCTTGTATACTAGTCACCTTATCCTGGAGCTCTGAGATGGACCTTTAGATCCCTAGCTTCTCGTGGACCTAAGAGAACTAAAAAAAAAAAAAAAAAAACTACTAATATAAAACTCTGTGCGGGGTAGTGCCCTAAGTGAAGGCAGGAGGGTCCATCAACTAGAGCCATAAAGGCTAACTCCCTTGGGGGTTAATCTCTTGGTAGAAGAAGTGTTTTGTGCTCGACTGTCAGGAAACGCAAGGAAAAAGTGCAAGCCCTACTCAAAAGTTGAGTAAGTTGAGGCCAAAAGGTCTGTGATTCAGGAAAACTTCATTAGGACAGCTTTCCAACCAATGCAGTTGCCGCCTAAAAGGCCTCGGTCTGAAGGTAGCATGCCCAGCAAAAAGACCTCAAGCCGAGACTTATGTACAAAGGACCAATCAATCCTTTAGGGCCCTGGCTGCAATGAAGGTCACTACGGTTACTTTCTGCTAGACACCCTGAGGTCAAAATAGGTTGCATAAACTGGATATTCTTGGAGGCAGAAGTGACAAACAAGCCTGTGCAGATGCCAAGAAGAAGAGACAGCAGAGCATGTCCTCTGCTGGTGCAAAGGCTTATGAAGGGTTACTCCTGGAGAGGAAAAGACCGGGATGAAAAGGATACACACGGGAGTCCTTAAAAAAGATTTAGGAACTGGTAAAAAGCCTTAAGCTTAATAATGAGCTCTAGTCAATGATGGAGATGCACAATAGACCAATACTGGTTGTGGTGCGCAGGTCGTAAGAGGCAGGCTCCTACTATAATCCAAGTCAATTTTGGCTCATCTTATTTCCCAGTATTATTTCTATTGTGATCACTATATTTTAATTTTTTAAACTTTTTTTATTATGCAGGGCTATTTTTGAAACTTTTAAACAACATAAAGAGAATAATGAATGAAAAATTTGGAATACTTTGTCCAGACCTAATTAATTTGTCAAAATAGATATAACTGTGATTTAACTCTAAATTTTTGGCACAGGCGAGTACTTACTTGTAGGAATAGTTTATTTGTCCAGATATATCACCTCCGGCTGGAATAGCAAGGTATGAATTTGCCAAATTGTCGAGATCCCAGTACCTTATCCTGTGGTCTGTGCCTCCAGTCAGTAAAAAAGGTACTTTATCGACTATGCTTGAATACATGCCGCATATTGAATGCGTGTTGTTCTACAAAATTATAATGTTAGAAAATGAAATTCAAGTTGATATTTTACATGTGTATTACTTGAGTATTAGAAAGCGGTGGTGCACCACTGCCCCATAGAACCGCCTGTCTTGAACCGCTTTCAATGCACCAAAGTGAAACTTCGTTGTTGCCTTCGACGGCAGAGATGAGCCAAGAAGGTTGGCTTGGATGACCACATAGCCTTCTTATCCTAGCCCCTACAATAAACATTATAGATCTTAGTTCCTTCCAAGAAAGGAAAAACAAGAATTGAGAAGATACAAAATAATATCTGTTTAAAAATATATCTTTTAATTTAGTATATGTAATATTACAAAATAAATAAATATTGGGTAAAATATGTACTTCTTTGATAATGACTAAAAGCTTTCAATTGAGTCTGGCATCTGGGGGGCTCTGGAAACTCAAGGGCATCCTAATATCTATTCACTTCCTCATCGTTAAATTGTACCTAGCCAACAGGGTTGGATCCTCACTCTTTGTTCAGTGTGGACCCGGGAGACTCTCAGGGTAGTGTCCTCAACCTGCTACTGTACTCCGTATATACTTCTGATATGCCTTTCCAATTTCAACAACACTATCCTAACACACACTAATGACACTCCGATCCCATTATAGTTCACCTAACCCTCCAAACACACCTATATTCTATTGAACTATGGTTAAAAAAATGGCGAATCAAACCACAGTCCCTAAAAATAACCTTGATCCTCCGACGCATCACTCTACTTCCAATTTATTATAAGCTCACTGAAAACATCATCCGCTTCCTAGAGTTGTAATTCGACAACTGAATTTACGGCATAGAACTACGGGGTTCAACCAAACCGTCCAACCTCCAAAAAATCCATAATCTTTAGACATATCGTTAATGCCCTGTTCTATGTTTCTAACTCAACCAACCATAACTATCTTAACGTCCTGTTTTTAAATTGTAAAATCCAGCTACAAAAAATTCCATAATAACCTCCAATCCCGTTCTAATCCCCAGGTATAACAACATTCTTCCCGATCTCTTCCCATCAATCCTCTGTGATTAAAAATACAGTAGCCCCAAGACCTGCTCCGAGAAAGTGCGAGTGATTAAGTATATCTGATTTAGGAGTGCTATCACTAGATAGCTTTTCCACTCGATGCCTTTTTGCATTTTTTCTTTAGTATTCTCCCTCTATATAAGTTATAAATGTTGCTCAGTTACTCAATGAAAAAAAATAAATAAATAAATATATGTTTAGACGGTTTGTTGAGTCCTTATCACATTTAATCAGGACAAACAATCTGAACAATTTGTATTTGTGGTTTGGCCATTTCTGATCATTTTGGGCAACTCAACCAAGATTTATCATGCTGCAGACACCAAGAGGGAATCTCACAACTTTTTGGTTTTTGTTAAAAAAAAATAAAAACAATTCCATGTAGTTTGGGGAAAATTTGAAAGTTTTGGGAAATTACACCTATCATCAGCATTTTATATAACCTTTGTAATACTTATGTCTTTTAAAAATGAAAATGCTGATGATGGGAGTAATTTCCCAGAAGGTACAAATAAATGTTTAAACAAGTAATAAATTTACTTTAAAGAAACGCATGGATTTGTTTTGTTTTTTTAAAGGAAACCAAAAAATTAAAAAAAGTAAAATTAATCTTAAAAAAACCTACAATATTTTTTATTTTGGGCTGCTTCTTTCTAAATAAATATAACAGATATTTCTGTTTTTACCTGTTGGGTGTGTAATGGTTGCAATAGGTAAATGAAATCTCAGGTCCCAACTGGTTATGTAGCCACTGTTTGTCCCCACCGAGAGACAGCATTGATTAGAATCCATATGCATTGCAGTTACGACTCCTGAAATTTTTTTCTTATTATTTAAAAAACTATTACACAACAATACTAAATAAATAAAATACCGTGTTTAATATCATTGTCCAGTTTCCATGCCACTCCCGGGGCTCTTAAATCCCAGCCGATCAAACAGCCAAATATGGTCGAGTATACGAGAACGGATTGCGACCCTGTTAACATTTATACCAGTCATACGATGCTATCACTTAAAGAATTATTTTATAAATACCAGAATCGAAGTATGCAATGTCTACTGGAACGCCTTCCTCATCGAGGTCTAGCTGGCGAGTATCGAAGACTGATTTCTTATTCGCTTCAATCCTTTAAAATGAGTAGTTGTTACGATTTGTAACAAATAGTGAAAAAAGTTGTGTTATTTACTTAAGAACTATTATCGCTCCTGTTTGACTGGCTATGCCCAATGATGTTTTTGCGTTACACAATGCCATGCCGACCAAAGGTCCGCTATGAGAGTTGTACACCTGCCTAGCTCGATTTGCGATGTTTTTCCCTTCCATTTTTCCACAATCCCATATTCGTACACATCCGTCATAACTACAACTGGCCATTATTGCGTCTGGAAGGGGAACCAATCTAAAATTTGTCATAGTAGCTTAAATTATTTAACTTGTTCATTTAAAAAAAAAAATAAAAAAAAATAAAACATTATCTACAAACTTTGTCACAGGTCCAGAGTGTCCGTGCAGATGGGAAACAAGTGCAGGTCTTAATCTCCAGCCGGGTGGGGAAAAAGTGGGCCTCCAGCCACCTTCTCTCCATTCCCTGCCTTTCAACAATGCTCTATAAAGCATTTCCCTGTGTTTAATCAGTTCCCTCAATTCCAATCGACACGGTGCACATCGGTCTGAAAATTAAATTTTTAATATAGAGAAAAGAGAAAAGAAAAATACACCTGGTATACTTTAAACACTTCTGTCTTAAACTTAGTAAAACATAAATTTCACTAAGATTCTTTCCCCTCTCAAAATTAATAATGGTAAAAAATTACATTGGATAAATGATCGTTCTTGAAGGCTATAATCGATATCCAATGATTGCTGAGTTGAAGCGTGCTGGCCTGACTGGGATTTTTCCTGTCTTCCCGTACAGTTGTCGGCATTGCCGAACATGTGCTTCCATTCTTCATTCATTGTATTACTTGATTCCTCTGTCGGTCTCCTAAAAGAAATAATAATAATAAACAAATCATGAACAAATAATTTAACAACTGACCTATTAACTGGGAATGATGAAACATCCGGCTTTGTATCAACCTTTCCCAGATTGGCCGAATGACAAGGAACGACAATTTTCAATTTGCTGAGCTCAAGCTACAAATTTATGTAATTAAGACCATGATGACCTCATAATTGTTAAATTTACTTGTACCTTTCCATCTGACAGCCTTTTAGAGTCTTGAGAATGATAGCGATTAATCTTAATCAAAGTATTTGACATAAGTATAATTAAATCTTCTACATTTTCTGTCATACCATCAGAGCTCAGTCTTCTAAATATCTACAATGATTCATGGTTTAAAAAAAATAAATTAAGATTAACCTCAGATTAATACATTTTTGAGAATGTTGCTTTGCTGAGGAGAAGCAGGAAGGGCTGAAGGTAATGAAACGTGTGTCGTTGGTCCTCCTCGTGCACTATGCCGTTCTGCAAGAGTCTGCAGAAGGAGGTTTAACTCTGAGCATTTGATCAAAGAATCAAATACCGTACGTGGTATGCAGGGTTTTAACGCATTTAACACTATAACTTCATTTTGTAATTGGATAACCTTATGTTTTAAATAAGGTTCAACTTCCGACATAACTTTACATTGAACATCCACCATGTTTAATGTTTGAGCTAAGGCACATATAAAACCGACAACAGCCTAAAACAAAAAGTATCATCAAAGGTGTGCTATAAATTTATATGTAAAAAAAAAAATTATTAGACAAACCTGTCTAATCCATAAATTGGGGTGAACTAAAAATGGGGCGGTTTCTTCTAACAAAAGATATAAGGCATTTTTGTGAAGTAAACTAAGTTCTGTTAAGACTGTAGTTGCATTTATCGCTTTTCTCACGACAAATTCCTCTGAATCTGTTAGGCCCTAAAATAAGAAAAAAAAGTAATTCGGCTTTTTCATTTGTAGCAGTAGACAGTACTTACTTGCTGAAGCAGAGGGGCAAGAATTGGAGAGCTATGCACTCCGATATATGCAGCTACGCCAACTATACAATCAAAAAATGAACCACGGAGGTGCTTGTCATCTTTATCATTCAAAAATGTTATCATGTGAGATAACAGAACATCGTTTGCTGAAAGAAAAATGGTTTTGATAAAAAGAAAAACGAGTTAACAAACTATTAAAGATCCATGTCTACCTTTTTGTTTTCCAAAAAACACACATAGTTTAGTTATTCCATTTTCAATAAGCATTTGCTTCACAATATTCTCTGGATCAGCGAGCAAAGCAGAGACCATTTGCTGAACCATTTGGTGCAATGTCGCAAGTTCACTTTCATAACTGTGGCTAGGGGGATCATTATGATTTACTTGCCAATGTTCCAAAAGCCTAAAAAAAGAAGAACTATAAACTTATTTCCAGAATAAGTTGTAATTTAAATATTTAATAGTTTAGAGTTTATATATTTAATTGTAAAATCAAATTCTAAGGTTTATCTTGCACCTCAACGCTATTTCAGCTAATTCAGCAATATTTTCAGCAAAAGCCGTTCGTACTATCACAGCTTCATCATGAGCAACCTAAAATAAATCGTGTAGAATAATGTGTCTTGTTTATCCTCTTGAGATTTTAAAAAATACCTGAGATAATCCAGGGAGTATGTACTCGGGAAAGACATTAGTATCACTAGGAGGAACGATTTTAACGTATGAGAGAGCTTTTGTTAGCGTATGAATTGCATAAACTCTGACACGGGGGAATGGGTCCTGGATTAAATACATCTGTAAAATAAATATTAATCATTAAATGATGAACTGTAACTTTGCAGAGAAAAATATTACAATATAAGGTAAAATTCTATCAAGAACAGTTTCAGCGGATGTATGAGCCGATAGTTCTGCTAGTATCTCCAAGCATTGAAGTTTGGATGTTGAAAAATGCAATCCACGGATACAGGAGGTGATTAGAGATGTTATCAAGACGAGAGCTTCATACGAATTTCCACTCTTTTTCTCACTCTCAGCCTGCTTTTCTTCCTCGCTTTTAAGCAAATTGATAATATTATGAATATCTTTCTTCAGCCTAGAAATAATAACACAAATAAATTCTCAATTTGTCTCTACAAAAATATATTTATTGTTCACCGTTCAATTTTTTCATCAGGTGATAGAATCGTTGCAGTATGACAGTAAATTAGCATATAAGAATGCAAAAATGAGTAAAAATATTCAGGAAATAGTTTCCCCCTTTCTTGATCTAAGTACACTTCGGCTGAAAGTCGGGCAGATGGGTCTTTTTGAATCATGGATTCAATAAGGGCTCTGACTTGCACATCTTCAAGTTTACACAGATATTTATCAAGGGTATATTCCCCAGTCCTGTAAGCTAGTAGCTGTGAAAAATCAAAAGGTGGGTGCCCATCAGAAAACAACTCAGCCAGAGCACATCTAAAATTCAATAATGTAATAAATAAAATGACTAAATCTTCTATTTATACAATGGATCTACCCTGCTGAAAATATATCCATAGAGGGAGTCAGATCTTCCTTTTTCTCTTCTGTAAGCAAAAGTTGGCTCCCACTGTCAGATCCTAAAGTTTTGACAAACCTAACAAAAAATAATATAAAAGAAAAGAAAAAGAAAAAAAGGGGACATTACTGTGATTAAAACAATAGTCTATTTTTTTAAACTACCTTTCAGGCGCTATATAGCATGTTCTTCTTCTAGATGTGTCAAAAAAATATGAAAAATCAGCAGGATTGTCTTCAGGTAAATGTGTCGGTTTGAAAGAAGCAAAATCTGTCAGAAGAACCCAATGCCATGAAGTTATAACAATATTTTCTAATTTTATATCTCCATGGCATACCTAAATAGATATGTAATAATTTTGAATCAATAAATAATAATAATAAAGACCAATGTGAAAAAAATTCAACCCACCCCTACTTTGTGACATTGGTATAAGGCGTACAGTATTTGAAATGCTATCCATTTTTTCTCAATTTGCGATAGAAATGGTCTTGTTGAAATTCTATCATATAAGCTGTACTTGACATATTCTCTCATCAAAAATCCAGCTTTATCGCTTAGCTAGAAATAATGACAATGGCATTAAAACACAATTAATAAATCTTGATATAAATATAGAAAAGGATAAAGTAAGTATCAAATTCAAAATACTATGGGAAAAAGATTCGCAATAATCCAAAGAGAATTGGAGAAAGGGATTGTTTGGATTATCTATAGCGTTTTATAGTACAACAATTATGGATTGCATATTTTATTGATACAATATTATAATTATTATGTACATACAAACAACGAATTATAACTTCGTTTTAATTATTTATATAATTTGTTGAAGTCATGAGGAGCAGTTGAGAATGAGGCAGTTTTAAAAAAACACCTTTTTCATTTTTTACCAATGTTTTGACCTTTATTTGGGTCATATTCAAGGTCATACTCAAGTATAAAGTGTGGTGCTATTCTTACGTTGTCATATTGGTTTTGTGTGAAAGTAATGTGGCTTATTTATATAGTTGTAAAAATTCAGTAATTTTCTTTTGAATTTAGTTTCCAAGTACTGATGGAAATTTTCTCATGCAACTCAGCAATTTGATTCCCTTACTGCTCTTTAGGTTGTTCTTGGCCCATCTATTGGTTGTATTAAGCGCTTTAACAGCTTCAGCAGCATATGTTGTTGGATGGGGAAATTTTTTCTCTGTTGCTTCTTCATTAGCAGCAGAAAGCATAATTTCTTCATCAGTTAAAATTTCTTAATTTGCTATTTCTTCATCACATCCACCCGATGCCCATTTTTGACCCACGGATTCAGTTATGGTCGTGTTATCTTGGGTCAACTGAACGACAAGTAGTCACAGGATGTCATTTTCATTAAATGAAGGGGGTATCGTAACAGCAACCAAGTTCAGACCATTTCAGACTACCTATTTACTAAAGATTTTTCCAAGACATTTGAATCAAACACAGTGAGACGGATGACCGTCAATTTTTTAAGTTGAAATCAACATCTTTCAGATTCATTTTCTTTAAAGCTGCCATCAGATCAACTCCACTCTGTTCGCCTGCAAGAATGTTCAAGAGTAAAATTTTTCGATAGTGCAATTTCATGTTCTGGATTACATTTTGGTCCATGGGTTGAATCACAGTGTTGGCCCTATAAGTTGGTGAGGGACACAACCAAGCGAACCTGTTCAGATTACTGTTCCTTTGGATTATTGTGACCCTGATGAATACATACACAGAATTACGTGGAATTACGAGTTGTTGTGCAAAGGGTTATATGGCCTAACAGTTTTTAATTTTCCTTTCCTCCTCCACCATTATTGGGAAACCAATATAAAAGGGGATGATGTGAAAGCAAAGTCAGCCAACTGGATGGCCAGATGGAGGGTGAGTATAATGGGGGAGGGGGGGTATAAACCCGGCCAAGACACAACGTTGTTCAGGGCTGACGGGCTGAATCAAGTAGACTGTCGAAGAGCAGCCCAGTGTAAAAGTAAGTGTCTGCAAGACAACCTCATATGGGATATACAGTGAAGACAATCTCTCTCTCTTATGAACCTCTAGGGCCATCTATTGACAGGGATATGCTCTTGTTACATAAAGGCTTCTCTACCGATCCAGCCTATCAACAGTGCCACATTCTTTTAATCATGTACTTTATTACATTTATAATGTCATAAGGCTGGATGGCGGTGGCCATGCCTGGAGGTTGAAATGTTCCAGCCTTAGTAGGTGAAAACCTGTCATGCACAACAGTAACTGTGCTGAGGGTGCAGACTAGGTATGCAGAGCCACCATAGTATCGAATCAAACGCAATTGCGCTACATTGTGGCAGAAGTGAATAAGGCATACCCTTGTAATACACAGCGTATGCCACAAACCCTTGCCGGTCTTAATCCTGTCTGTGCAGACAAGGCAAAAACCAGTGTTTTATATAGAAGAAAAATCTTAAAAATATATTTTTATTTCCTTACAATTGCTTTCTGGAAGGTTAGACAGTTGACAGCTGATGAAAGGTCATTACGGATTTGCTCGACCCGAGTCTTGTGGGACGAGAGCGGTAGGCTTGGGTCGTGGATCGCAAAGACTTTAACGACGATAAGTCCCTCTTGAGACTTGGCCCTGGCCACTTTAAAAAATCTCGTGCTCCCGAGGCTGAAAATAAAACGCCATTAAATAAAAGCCACGTCAAAATTTGACATATTTAACTCACCTGACATCGAACTGAAGGTCTGAATGTTCTGTCAAGTAATGTTCAACTGGGAAAATTTGTGATGGAGCAATGCCAACCAATTGATTTCCCATTGCTGGTGTTCACCTAATGTTTTCATTAACATCACCACTAGATCCAGGGCTTAGCGATAGCATAAGTTTAATCACAAATATTAATCCCTTGTTTCTCATAAGTCATCCAGCTATTTTTTTTTTCACGATATAGAACGAAGTAAGTTGTCGCAAGCAAATCACTTTCAAATAAACTCCTTTCGCCTTATTTTATTAACGATTAATCGGGTCGTCCTGTTGTTCCACTCCGATAAAACAGTCAACTTTCTATTATTATGATAACTGTATAACCACCAATCCCGTAAGTCGAGGAACTCAATGGAGTTGGGCTTTGACGCAGGCGACATCATGATCGCCTGTGGACCCTTGATAAATGTCGTCATGATGAGCCAATGGTGAAATTGTGGGCACCTGCATTTATTTTTTGCATATACAGACTTAATACACAACATACTTAAACTACAGAGTGTCCTTCTTAGATGGCCCGGCTGAATTTCTCTTGAACCAACGACGCTATAAAAAAAACCCTTATACTAATTACTACCAGGAATGTCGAATACACTGGAGTTGTGAAAGTGTAATTTATTAGAGTGAATTGAGAAGCTTATCCTAAATTACTCCGAGAAATATCGAAACTATGGGGTAGTGTAAATGTAATTTATTAGTTTTCCAATTAATTAAGGTTTTTAGTTGAGGTAAAAAAGTCAGTGTCACGAGTGGGATTCGAACCCACGATCTTCGGCTAGATACGCCGCAACTCCATCCCCTTGAGCTATCGTGACCTCGATCCACTCGGACACTAGCTTCCCATCTCAACCCTACCTTTTGTATTTTCCCTTCTTTTTGCCATTATTCAATTTTAATTTATTAGCGTGAATGGAAAGGTTTATCCCAAATTACTCCGAGAAATATCGAATACCATGGGTAGTGGGAATGTAATTTATTAGAGTGAATTGAGAGGCTTATCCCAAATTACTCCGAGAAATATCGAATACTATGGGGTAGTGTAAATGTTATTTATTAGCGTGAATGGAGAGGCTTAGCCCAAATTACTCCGAGAAATAACGAATACTATGGGGTGGTATGAATGAAGTCTAGTGGGTAAATGTAATTTATTAGCGTAAATGGAAAAGGCTTATCCCCAAATTACTCCGAGAAATATCGAGGATTCTGGGGTAGTATGATTGAAGTCTAGTGTCTGAATATATTATATTAGCGTGAATGGAGACGCTTATCCCAAATTTTCCTGAGAAATATCGAGGACTCTGGGGTAGTATGAATGAAGTCTAGTGGGTGAATGTAATTTATTAGCGTGAATGGAGAGGTTTACCACAAACTACTCCGAGAAATATCGAGGATTCTGGGGTAGTATGAATGAAATCTAGTATCTGAAAATATTATATTAGTGTGAATGGAGACGCTTATCCCAAATTTCCCTGAGAAATATCGAGGACTCTGGGGTAGTATGAATGAAGTCTAGTGGTTGAATGTATTTTATTAGTGTGAACGGAGAGGTTTACTCCAAATTACCCTGAAATGTTTTGGTAGCGTCATTGGTTCAAGAGAAAGTCAGCCGGGCCATCTATATGAAAATGAACCACCTGTATGAAAATATGCATAAAATAATTAAGTGGAAATATATATATATATATATATATATACACGCATAATATTAACAAAGACTATGGAGAAATTCAAAAATACAAATATACGCTGATAAACAAAATTAACACACCACTCTAAATTTTACCGTATTTAGGTTTATTCATATTTTGCATACCAAAAATAGGTAAAAATAAGACATTTAAAAACAAAATCGATATTTCTCGGAGTAATTTGGGATAAGCCTCTCAATTCACTCTAATAAATTACATTCCCACTACCCCAGAGCATTCGATATTTCTCGGAGTAATTTGAGATAAACCTCTCTATTCACGCTAATAATTTACATTTATACTACCCAAGGGTATTCGATATTTCTCGGGGGAATCTGGGATAAGCGTCTCCATTCACGCTAATAAATTACATTCAGACACTAGACTTCATTCATACTACCCCAGAGTCCTCGATATTTCTCGGAGTAATTAGAGATAAGCCTCTCCATTCACGCTAATAAATTACATTCACCCATCACAATTCGTTCATACTACCCCCAGAGTACTCAACATTCCTCGAAGTAATTGGGGATAAGTCCTACATTCACGCGAATAAATACATTCGTTCCAGAAAATAACACATCACATGAAGGTTTACAATTAAAAATATTTATGGCCCTGAGATATTGATTCAGCGATCTGTCCTCAAGGCCTATAATAATTGTAAATATAATTATGTATAGTATAATAATTAATTAATTACACTTTTATTGTATAGTAATTATATTATTATAATAACAAAATTTGTTTGTTTTATACTAGGTCAAATTATTTCATTAATCAAAAAGTGTTAGAAAACACTATAAAAATGATAAAAAATATTATTTTGTTTTATTAATTTCTAAGAATTCCGCCATTCTTTCTAGAATTCTGTATTTTGCAATTATAGTAAACGTGTTATTTTCTTCTAATGGAAACGTTTCTTAAAATTAAAAGACCGAATTGTACCGACGCGCCCAGTGCTTGTTTCTTATTTGTTGCATACGGCTTGATCGATTGTATGATCCATAAGGCGGGGGAGTCAAAGACCGCCTGGGCACCACCCATACTCAGTCGAAACCATTTAGGTATCGATGATGTCCACTCGTAAAACCAATCGATACGAAAACTAACAATATAATTGAATTGCGATCATATCTGCGTGTGCTGACAGCCTAACAAAAAACGCAGACCAACCACTGAAAATGCCGAAACTTACATTATAAATTTTCAACTATATTTATTTAACTTGAATTACATTGATCCTTTATTAATTAGTAAAAATGCACAAATATTGTTAAACTAGATTTTTAACAGTTTTAAAATAAATAAAATAAAATAGTCTCGATGATTTATAGTCACTTAAACAAATTTGCGCCCCTTAGTTAGTTGTCATATACTATTCAGAATTTTTCCCCTATAATTTCCTAAAAATATAGTAGAAATTTTTTTACACTCTTTAAAAGCTCAACACTGATCTCTTTGAGCTAAGAATCAGATTTATTAACAGGATTTTTACTGACTTTATTACTTGTGCAGTTAATGAATAATAGTTGTAATTATTTATTAATACTGTTACTAACTCCAAAAAAATCTTGCGGTTTTCAAAAATTTGTCTTTCGATTCATTGAAATTAGAAACAACGCAATCGCTAGTGTTCTTGTCTGTATGACTTGCGATACCTTAATCGTTAATAAATTGGAAAAATAAAATAATTGAACATTAATAATTTTTTTTAAATCAATATTTCTGACTAGTATCGAGTCTAGATTTTATAGTTGTATTGTATAGGCTCGTATTATCGATAGGGCTCGTCTTTCTGGCAGCGATAAATCGTTGGGAAGAGTCGGAGGTCCCCCTCTTCCATTCCGATCCACTCTGAGTTCTGACCCTCGCCCTAATAAAGGGTTTGTCTTGGTTTTTACCCCCTTTTATCATGATATCCCGAAAGGAAGGGTTTCGCCTTTTTTCGAGCCGAATTCCGTGCGAAACGCCCTTAACGAAGGGCCGAACGGGCTGAACGGCACTTTCCGAACAGGAGACATGCTAAGTGTCAGAATTGCGTACGCGTACTATTGTAAACACAAGACGATGTTTTGATATTCGTTAGCTGAAAATGTATCTTTTGGATTAACATCAAAGGTAATACTAAGAACATTTTTTCTCCTTATTATTAATATAAACAAAAATTTGATTTTTAAATAAATAATATGCGACATTCTAATTAAGGCTCATATGTACTAATCCTGCAATACCGTCCGGTCGTGTGGTTTAGTATTTCAAGCGCCGTGAAACGTTTTTTTACAAGTCAGTCGGAAAATTTTCTTTCGTCAATAAATAATTAATAGCCAATTAATAATAGAAAATTTATCTAAATGAGGTAGTTACTGTAAATACTTTTTTCCTTCTTTTTCAGTTTTGTTCTTGAAATATCAATTTTTATTTGGTAGGTATTAAAGTTTGACAAATGTTTTGTAGATATGAGGTCATTGTGTACAACTACTTATAATTTTAATTACTCATTTCCTCGTCAAAAATAAAAATTCCTTTCAGTCCAGTGTCTAGTTATCCAAAATTACTTTACTTTTATTGTTACCAATAATTTGTGCAACACTTTTTGTGTTTCATAATAAAATAAACTAGTGCAGAAAGTATTTTTTGCCCTTGGTAGAGCAAATACCACATTCACACACTTTTAAATAAGCAGATTTTTTAATTACTAATAAAATAATTTATGGCTTTAGTTTTTAAAAGTTTGAAAATATTGTTTATTATATTTATTAATGATTTATATAAGCTCAAATCTGTACATGAATGTACATAGTTGATCATATCACTTTTCACAGTCCACCAGCAATTCTAGCTTTTGTAATTTACAATAAATTACTGGCAGGCACCACCCTGGGTGTCGATAGTAAGAGCTTAATTTTATCCATCCAGAATCCGAGGTCGAGCTCCAGAGGCTATCAACAGCTTTATGTCATTTCAGCCTGCAACCCAAACAGTTCCTAAATCTATACCCATTCATACACTCTTAAATATATTATTTACATACAATTCACTCAGTAAAGGTGGTGGAGTACTCAATATTCTACCATTGTTGCTTTCACACTACACATTCACACCAATAAATACACAAATATATCATATATCAACACTAGGTACAATAAAACAACCCTGCATTCTCTAAAACTCAGATCAGGGGACACAAATACTCACTGCCATGCTCAAGCACAATTCTCCTATCAGTGGCATTCCTTCACGCACCCTTTAACTAGGTGGGACATGTTCAGCAACCTTTCTCTACATGCTGGACACATATGTAGGCTTTAGCCCAAGTATTAATGTCCGTGTGTCAACCTAGTATGGCCTATTCTTAATCGGGTGAGGATGACCCTTCTTCTATAAGTCAGGTCCTCTGAGGTCTGCCTATCAACAGTGCTCTTGATATGCAAGAGCTTCTCTGCCAATCCGACCACCGACACTGCTACTTTTTTTTAATCATGTTTTTTATTGCAATTTTAGCATCAGGAGCTGGATTGCAGAGTTGGCCTTAGCTGCCTATTGTAATTATTCGTGTTTAATGCTGTGGAAAATTTTTCTGATTTCAGTGACATGTCCGGCGGGGAAAGAAAAAAGCGTATTGCCCGTGGTACTGGTTGGGAAGAGGCTGGAGGAGAATTTTACCAAGAGAGCTATCCGGGTGGTGAAATTGACTTAGAGGCACTTCCAAGGGACCCCCATTACTTTGCTACCCTTCTTCCGAGCAAACAGAACCGAGCAGGTACATTTTAAAATACGCCCGTACATTTATGCCTAGATGATTGTTTTACATGTTATTTACAGCAACGACGAGGAAGCCACAGAAAGCAGACCCAAAGGCTACTTTCAAGAGAAGAACTTCGACTAGGTCTCGTTATTATAACACCATGGGCCAGAACACAATCCCTAATGATATCCATGTCGCTATGATGCCTGATCTGTCAGGTATGACTTGATCTTTTTCTTCTTCTTTAGTATGATTTTTGTATAATTTCAATTTTGTTTTGTTTTCAGAAAATCTGGCGAACGAGGAGACAACTTGGGAAGAAATGATGTTAATTAAAGCAATGCCAATATCAATGGCTCAAAAAAAGGAAATAAAAGCAAAACTTCTGGTATGTACTGATGTCCTTCAACTTTATTAGTTAATTTTTATTATTTTTGTCTTATTATAATTGCATAAACATTAATCATTGTACATTATAATGAAATAAATATATAAAACTTAATGTTGTTAATAATTGTAAATTTAATTTAATTGTAAATATAGTCAAAATTTGTCTTTTCAGAGTGCTGACACATTTAGACTTCAAGGTTTGAAGCATTTTAAGTGGCGGAGGAGGAAGTTTTGGGAGTATATGAAAATAAAGAAGAAAGAATATTATAAAACCATTCAGTTGTGGAGGAAATGTCTAAGGGCAATTGAGGGCAACTTCGGTACTGGTGTTGTTGCGTTTTTCTTTTTTATAAAATGGCTAATGTTTTTAAATTTAACAATTACTGTTTTAATTGTCTGTTTTATAATTGTGCCCACATTGTTAATGAAAGAAACTGAAAACGACCCTTGTATGCCAAGCAATGGCACTATTTCGGTGGCATGTTGTTCACAGTTGTACTCAAACAACCTGTCTGATTTTGTATTTGACCCTTATGACTTTGCTCAAGGTACTGGTTGGGTAGAGAGGTCGTACATGTTTTACGGTGTTTATTCCAGTTCAATATTGGAGGACACACTTTTAAATTACAATTTGCCAGTCGCTTATATAGCGACAGCTCTCGGTTATTTCCTTTTGAGCCTTTTCGCCATCTTGAAAGCCGCTGCCAACGGTTTCAAAGAGAGACTGGTAGAAAGTGACGGTCAATACTACAGATACTGCAATATGATTTTCTCAGGCTGGGACTTTTGTATATATAACGAGAAATCTGCGAGTATTAAGCACAAGGGGCTGTTTTACGAATTGAAAGACAGTCTCGAATATGAGAGAAGAGAAGATGACAAAAAGAACAGAAGTAGAGATGAGTATTGTCGATTGATCTCCATTCGTATATTTATTAACATGATCGTTATTATTATTTTAATAGCTTCTGGGTCTTTGATATTTTTCACTTTTCAGTTTTCATTGAAAGAACTTGAATTGCACAGAGACAATCAAACAGAATACTACAGGCTATTGCTAGAGTTCATTCCTTCATTATGCATCGTGGGTTTGAATCTCATCATACCGAATATTCTAAACTATTTGGTCTCACTGGAAAATTATTCTCCTATCTTTGTTGTTAGGATAACACTCTTCCGTACTATTTTGCTAAGACTTTCCTCTTTAGGAGTATTGTTGGCTTCTTTTTATTCGTTGGTGAAATGTAGAGTTGGAACAGAAGAGGCCTGTGCTAGTACTTACTGCAGGACTCCCTTGTGTTGGGAAACTTACGTTGGGCAACAACTGTACAAGTTGATAATTTTAGATATTGTATCTAACGCCATAGTCACATTTTTAATCAACTTCCCTAGAATGTTGATTGCTAAACACATAAAATGCAAATTAGCACGGATCTTAGGAGCACAAGAATTTGAACTTCCGAAACATGTTTTAGACGTTGTTTACAGTCAGACGTTAGTATGGTTTGGGAGTTTCTATGCTCCTTTACTCCCAGCTTTGGCGACAGTATTGTTTTTTCTTGTATTTTACATTAAAAAGTTTGCTTGTCTTGTCAACTCTTCACCGTCGACTACTATTTATCGAGCTTCTAGATCTAACTCGATGTTCATGTCAGTGCTCCTAGTATCTTTCTCAGTTGCCGTTATACCATGGGCGTACACCATGTCGGAAATAGAACCATCTCGATCTTGCGGTCCGTTCAGAGGGAGGCCATCAGTTTGGTCTCTTGTAGAAGAGACTTATCAAGAATTCCCTTGCTGGTTGAAGAACACCTTCTCCAGTGTGACATCAGCGTATTTCCTTATACCGGCATTTTCTCTGCTAAGCTTTTCACTTTACTATTACTACATTATTGCAAAAGAAAATAAACAGATGGTGACTGTCCTTAAAAAGCAACTTGTATTAGAAGGTCATGACAAACAGTTTCTATTGGATCGTTTGAGTGCTTTCATTAAACAACATCAAGAAAGACACAAAGCAGCAAGATCCATCGATCCACCCATTATTCCGCATAATTCAGTTAATGGTGCTCATGGAAATGTTTGATTTGAAGAGTAAAAGCTGATTTGAAAACATGTATAACTTCAAACCGACCTTTTTCTATTTCTAAATGAAACAAAAATATTAGGCAAAAGCGAAAGTGATTTGATTTACTATTAAAATTGTAAACATACTGTACAAGCAGGTAAAAAAGTATCATTAACTCTGCAGCAGGCGCTTATATAAAAATTTGAGAAGTGGGTGAGTGGAGTACTCAGTTCCACATATCATTTTTTGCTTTTTTGTGTGTGTGGAAAATAATGACATGTCTAATAATATGAAATAATGACCATAGTAACAATTAGAATGAAAACTACTAGCATAAATATTTATAATATAAAAGACTTGTAATTAGGATGACTTAAATACTTATTTAAAAAAATGACATTTTTCTCAATTAGCATTGATTTATCATGAAAATGTATTGATCTCGTCAGAATCAAAAATTTTTTATGGCCAAAAACATCTAAAATTTGCAGACTGGAACAATCATCTAAAACAGCCATTATCTCATTTTTTTGTAGGTTTTGCATCTCTTTATTTTCTACAGTCTTTTGCTTTATTGGCATCGATGTAGTTTTTAGTGAAAAGTCTGTCATCAATTGCCTCCGTTGTGTTTGACAATTTCGCCAAAATATATTGAAAATTAAATTAAAAATATATTAATCTCGGTATGTAAATCCCATGTAACTCTGTTGGTACCTGGTAAAGTTTTTATATTTTTGCTCGAGTTTTATGAGGTAAGGTAGTAGGATTGCTCATCCATATTATATCATCTTTTCTAATGAAAAATGTATAATCAGTGTCCACATTTTCTACATACATGTCTTCATCTATTTCATCTTTACTGGCAGATTTCTCCAGTTCGCCGAAATGAATGTCTTGCATTATTTAATTCATTATCACTATCAACTGTACAATCTATGAAATAATAGGATTCATCCGAGAGTTGTTGGAGGGCCTCCAACATTTTTTCTTATTTGTTATACAAATTTTCAGACCTAACGGGTAAAAAAACAACAAATTACAAAAATTGAATAAAACTAAAATCATAGCTATAATCCAAGTAATATTAATATATACATATAAACATAAAAAATACCTATTATGTAAGTAGGTACATATTACAAAGTAATATAAATACATATTACAAAACAATAAAGATTATTATATTTATATGCAATTCCGAAAAAAACAGGAGTTTTATTCTTTAATGAATCCTTAGCAACTGAGATAAAGAAAAGTAAAAAATTACACTTGTCATTAAAATGTAGAGAATGAATACTAACCACTTTAAATCAAAATTGAAAATAAAAATACAATAAAAAAGAATAGTATCACTATGCGCCTGCTGCAAGTTAAATTATACTCTATACGTAAAGTCATATAAAAATCTGTGGATATTATTGTCAAACAGTTCATAGTTATATATTTGCTGACTACAAAAACAATTTCATTGTTTCCTTGAATTTTATCAAATACTGTAGAAAATCTCTCTCTTTCTGATTGTTCTTTTGAAGTTGAATATACCAACTTATGTAGTATTGTATATTATTTTATTTATATGTTTAACGTGTAAAAAAGTCCAAATCATTTGCTGCTTTATCTTCATGAAATATTGTATTACATAAATTTAAAAAAATATCTTTTTAAATATGAATAGTTTCACATCGAAAATTGCATAATGGACGATGAAAAGAAGGCACACCTAATACAATTGTACATATTCTTATCATTTGTTAATTCAAAAAAGAAGTCAAGAAAAATTGTCATTTATAAATCTGCTGCCACCACAAGTCGTTTATTTTTTAATTGTAAAATTGTAACGATTATTACTTCTTATCTCTTTAAACACTCAAATATAGGAAAATAAGCCTTAAGAACAGTTAACTATTAGTTTAGATTAAGAAAAAAAAAATTGTCTTTTTAAATTTTGATTTGTCTTTCAAAAATATACTAGAGAAGGAAGAGACAAGGAATTATGTATATAATGTAAAAAGATTATGGAAAATAATTGTTGTGATATTGTCTAGTCATTCTAAGTGTAAACATTATTGCTTAGAAAAATTTTCATTAGCATGAGATGATAATTTATATAAATATTTTATGAGGTTGTGAATTTAAAACAAACGTAAATTTAATGTGTGTCAAACATGCATGTGTCTCAATTAATACAATATGCTTTGAGTATTAATTGCTTTATGAATAAGATAAATAATTTGTACTAAACTGTATACCTGCCATTTTTTACATACTGAGAAGGGTAAGTTTAGAATAATGGGAAAAAAGGGAAGTAAATTGCACAAGTGGTAGTATATTTTTTATATGGTGACTTTTATAAACATAAGTTCGGTATACAAAAAAATAAATAAAAAAACTAAAGACATTTAGAGATCTAAAACTTCATTTGTATTTCTTTCTAATTATTACATTTATTTACAAAATCTATAAAGCCTTGATTTGAGAGTATATGACATACTTGTATCATTTTTATACAATTCATTGAATATTATGAGACTAAATTGCAAATTTGTGCCAATTTTTCGAGCTAGGAAATATGAATTTTTTTTATATATCCTTTGAATGTAAATATTTATGTTTACTGAATTTAAATTTATAAAAATTGGTAAAATATAACTTCAACTAGCAAAATGATTTAATCAAAAAATAGCTTGTATGTACATAGGACATATCTTCATGATTACAATAAATTAGATTATTTGTTATTAATGTAAGATTATACTAAGTGTATTGTTTGTATTTGAGATGTATTAATACTTAATTGTCTAGCAAAGTGACTTCTTAAACCATTAGATTTTCAAACGAGGTAATTTAATTTTTTAATGTATTTTTATTTATTATTGAAATTTTTTTGACTCCCCTTCCATAAAAATTGTAAAAATATGACATTTCAAATATAAACAAACAAAATAATGTCAAGCCGGATTTGTTTATACGTCTTCGATATCTATGGGGTCATGTATCTGTAAATTAAAAAAAAAATTAAATGATGGTACAATATGATTAATGACATTACTCACAGCTCCTGAAAGTGTTAGCCAATCCATGGTAGCGATAACTGGGTCATTTTTTGAAGGTGGTTTATCCCAATTCCAATAGGTGAAATTTTTAAACTGACCGACACAAGAATAACTTGATGGTTTTGGGTCTTTGCTGTCATTAAAAATAAATCCCTTGTACCCCTCCGAAAGCTCAAGTCTAGTACCGCTTAATGGGTATCCACGGAAAGAAGCTGTCAATTCTATTTAAAAAAAAAGGAAAAAAATGAACAGAAAACTTACAAAGAAAACATGTCATTTACAAAATATCAAATAAATTTCAAAATTTGTAAAAAAAAAGTATGGATACTATTGAACAAAACATTTTCATATATTCATGTCAATTATGGATCAACTGTTCTCTCTAATGCTAGGGGAGGGCATTGATATAAATAGTTGATGTTGAGTGTTGATTTGCGAGTTGGTGAACTCATGCTGAAGCTGAACTGGCATTGAAACGTCTTCTCTCAAGTTTGTCGAACTACACAAAAGCATTTCTATTGAGCGCCTCACTTAAGATGGCAAAATGATGTGTTGAGTAGTTCACAAACCTCCAAGTGAAGAACCCAATATGTGACCCAATGCCGGTGCAGAATTGATGTAAATAAGTTGGTGCAAAATCATTAATTATTTCTAAAACTGTGCCCCAGGGCAGCTAACGATTTTTGAATAATTGGCATTTCTAGTTGAGAAAACAAGAAAATCAATGCTGTACCCTAAGGATACTAAAAAACAAAAAAACTCATTTTAGCCCGAGGGTAAGGTATGCAGGGGTCCCATCGTAGGTATTAAAGCATGGTAACCAGCCTCAGCTGCAACTCCGAAATCAACCTAATTTTCAGGGGAAAAAAACAATTGGAAACAACCTATGCAGTCTGTATCAAAACCAAAAGTAGCAAATTAGATTAAAAGTAAATTATTCTTTAATCATCATCAGAGTATGGCTATTGACAAAAGTATCGTCAATAATAATAATGAGACAGTGTAAATTAGTCATTAACCATCACTTTGGCCTCTCCTTACTGGGTTGTTTGACAGATAACCCATCAGGATTACATTAGAGGATTCAGCCCCTTTACAACCTGCGCACCATGACCAGCATTGTTTTGGTCTATTAGGCATCTTTGAAGTTGTCGAGAGAGAGCTCCTTGTTAAGCTTAAAGCTTTTTACCCAAATACCAAACTTTTTCAAGGATTCTTTGTGTATCCTTCAAGGGCTTTTCCTCTCTCAGGAATAGGAATCTCAGCGTACAAAGCCTTCACACCAACAGAGAACATGTTCCACTGTTTCTTCTTCTTCCCGGCAATATCTGAGTCTATACATATGTCTATAGAATCTGGAGTGTCCCGTTAACGGTCCAGCAGTTGTCCTTTGATGAACTTTTTTGCATGCCTCTGTCCTGAGTTACATTACTATTGAGGACTTATTTGTAATCCATTTGCTGATGGATTACCTAGCAAGGACAGGCAGACAAAACCAATAGGTAAATTCCAATTTAAAGGTTACAGGTAGCCAAGTGGATATATATATATTACACAGGGCGGGCGACCAGGACCCGAGGGGTTAAAAGCCTGAGTAGGCCCGTACCCCATCCCTAGAAGGTCCGGGACCTGGTCGGCTCACGAGTCCTGTATAAACCTATTGGACCTATTCACAAACCCCAGGATTGTGGACCATTTTATCCTGGGGAGTGTTTTGGTTATGTCCTCTCCTTCGAAAGTATTAAATCTTTCCCTAGCATACCTATCGCATTCTGCGAGGTAGTGTCGGGCCGTTTCTTCTTTTGTTTCGCAGAAGCGGCAGAAGGGGTCTGGTAGAGTACCCATTATGAAGAGGTGTCTTCTCAAGGGGCAATGGCCCGTTAGGACACCTATCAGCCTCCTTATTCCCCTCCTAGAGTTAGAGAATAGCCATTTCGATTCTTTAGGTTTGATTTCCTTCAGAAACTCCTTCGATTGTCTGCATCCTGGGGACATATTCCATTCCTTAAGGAATTGTTTCATGCCCCAGCTACCTATACTCTCTTTTGCTGTGCTTAAAGAGTGGGGTAATACCGGTTGTGGTCCGACGAACTCAGTATTTGAACCTTCCTTGGCCAGGCTGTCCGCCTCCTCATTGCCATAGTGCCCCTTATGAGCAGGTATCCATACGAGGGTTACCCTATTCTCATACCTGGTGATAGTCCTATTAATGAGTTCAACGGTTTCCTCTACCAGTCTAGATGTTGATAGTTCTTTTTGTAATGATTTTAGACTGGCCTGACTGTCGGAAAAAATTTTAATATCTTTTCCCTTAATCTTGTTATCCATCAGTGTTCTACAGCAGACATTAATGGCCCAGACCTCTGCCTGAAAGACTGAGGTGTTATTACCAAGAGGATAGGAGATGCTGATCCCTAATTTAGGTATGTGTATTCCAGCACCACTTCCCTTATCCTTAAGCCAAGTGGATAGTGTGTTAGACTCTCAATTGCAAGTCCAATTCACACCATCATTTCTGTAATTTTCTTTCACATTCTTCTTCCCCCGAAAATATGTACTCAAATCAATCAGCATCCCTGGTTAATATGGAAAATTTGGATAAATCTCTAAAAGAAATTGGGACTTAAATGCAAATATTAGGAAAAGGCTTTTTTTTAAATCTTTGAAAAATCAAAATTGTTCATCAAATTAAGTGACAATTTACATATTCCACAATTACTGAGAACAGATTAAAAAATTATAAAGTGAAATATTTTGGGGGTCTGTAAAATGATAAGCCTTGAGTATTCACCTTCATTCGCCTTTTCTCACTGGTTATGTTAATCTGACACAGCCAGTCTTTTCTTCAGTGGGCACAATTGACAGAATAACACATAGACCAACCAATGATGAAATGAAATAAAAAATACACCAGAAAACACCTAGCAAATGGCAAAAATATATAGACCATGAGATAAAAAAAATAGTTGTTTAGAGGGTCTTGATACACCGATGGAAAAAATTAATACACCCCCCTTAAATTTTAATGTATTTAGGTGTATTCATATTTTGCATACCAAAAATAGGTTTGATTGTAAAAAAATAAGACATTTAATAAGCAAATGTTTATTATCTAATTCTAAAAAAACAATTATTTAGTGAAAAAAATTAAAAGAAAAACCTTTTGTCCCCTTTTAATATCAAGTTTTCTACCTCTGGCACAAATCACCTCAGTTAAAGGTTTGCATTTGCATTCCCTGGAAAAGATTTCTGATAAAATCCTGAAGAATTCATTTCCATTAATCAAAAACAGCCGTTTCCAACTCTTCTAGGGTGTTAGGACCTGGGACTGGATGCTTAAGTTGGCCCCAAACGTGTTCAATCAAGTTCAAAACTGAACTTCGAGCCGGCTACATCCAGCAATCTATTTCAACCTCATTTAGGTAGTAATCAACAATACATGCTGTATGGGGTCTAGCATTATCCTGCATTACCAAGAATCTCTCACAGATGTGCGGCACTATGTGTTCTTCAGTTGCCCTGTTAGCACCTCTGTGAAGTCTCGCACAACAACCAATTCGGTGTGTGAGAACAAGGAAGCCACCCCAGAATGTCAATGTAATGCCATCTGAGGAACCATACAGGATGGGGCATACCTCTCTCCTGTGTGTCTATATATGAATTTATGCCCATCTGAAGATTGAGGCAAAATCTCACCTCATCTATAAAGAGAATTCATCCCCAATATTTCAATGTTCAATTCATTAGTGAACTGAATGGCCATTTTCTGAGATGTGATAAGAAGAGGCCAACAAGCCAGGTGCCGGGCCCTGAGGTTATTTTCACTGCGCCTTCTTCTTACAGTCCTGGAGGATATCAAAACATTTCGGACTTATCTTATTAGATTTCTTATATCATGTCACTTAATGCTGTGGTTTTTTAGAGCCTGATGTTGGATCAATCTATCGTCTCTCTCGTTTGTAGACCTAAGTCAACCCTGTCCTGGCTTTCTAGTGTAAAGCCCTGTATTTCTCAAGTGCGGAAGAAACCTTCCTATGGTAGAATGATTTACAACCCCTGGTGATTTGCGCTGGCTGTATCCTTCCCCTAATAATGTTATGCCCCTGACACTGTCAAATACCTGACTGGAGCATGAAAAAGGTTTAAGAATAAGAGTAATATCAAATTAATTCAACGAAAGAAATAGGTTAATTGAGAGCAATCTTTAGGCATAGCAGAATATAAGGGCATAATGCTACTTTTTTGTGCAAATGGGATTAATTAGTATAAAAGTAAACAAAGCATTATTAACTGTTTATTTTGAGTAAAATAGCTCCTAATAACCTGTGGCTCATGTTGAAAGTATTGGATCTAATTTTAAACAAATAAATTGAGGGGTGCATTAAATTTTTCATCAGTGTAGTTTGTTAATCAAATTTATCGTTTCATCAAAGAAAACAAGTTGGCCCTGGAAAGGATGAAATTGAACTGATTTTCTTTATTTTTAATGTAGAGTATAAAAGGATTAGTAACACTGTAGAGTAAGCAACGAGTTATCAATGTTGTGTTTACAGTACCTAGTTATTTTGGAAAAATAAGCAAATAAATGCAAGTGTCAGGCTTTTTATCTTTTGAGTGTATTTTAGTGCTTTTGAACCTTTTGGTTTATTAAATCCATTACAGTTCGTGGCTCGATTGACCAATTAACTTTTTCAATTAATTAATCTTTTTGTTTATAATTATGTTGTATAAAACAAGGCCCAATTTAACAAATTTCCGTTCGGATTCACACCTTTGTCTGACACTTGAACAGGCTTGAAGAACGAGTCGACGTCGCTTTCCATATCCGCATGTATTTTACACGGCAAACTGTGCACGACGGCTTCTTTTGCCTCTTTCACGTTCTTCAACTTTATTGACATTTGGACAGATTTGTCGTTTAAAAATCTATTGGTTAAAAACTATAACTACGATACCGATACTTAAAGTTTTATTAGTTAATACTTAAGTCGTGCGTAGGGACGTACCGACACGAACAGGCAACAGGTACTTAAGTTTGAAAATTTGAAGGTTGAATAAAGGTTTATAGGTTCGTGTGAAGAGCGCGCGTAAATTCTTTGCTTATCACAGGTGGGTTCATCCAACGTCACTGAAAACGTCACTGACTGAAATCTGTCATGACTAAAAATCACCACTAAAATTCCTGTGCTTGCTCACAACAGAACGAGAATTTTAGATTAATTAATTAATCTTCCGTAGTAACAGGGGTGATGAGTAACCTTACTCGATTATACATTGACGGGCAAAAAATTCCACCCAATTGATTTTTTTTTCGATAAAACAAAATTCTGCCCTTAATTTGTTTTTTACCAATAAATATTTGTTTATGCTATATTTTAAATTGGGAATATCAATCAGAGGTAAACACACAATCCTTAATCCAAAACATGGACAAAGGATTTTTCTGCCTTCTTTTTACGGAATTTAAAATATTTGTTCAGTTCAGAATTCTGAAGCAATAAACTGTTTAGTTTTCATCTTTGTTTTCTTAATTTCAATTTTCAAACTTAAAAATGCCATGTTGTGCGTTGTGTGGCACTTTTAGATGATGGATGTACCATCAGATTTGCGGCTATTGCCATCGGAGTTCCTTACGAAACTCTGCGAGACGTTTTTGAGACACTGAATCTTACCATAGGAGGTCTGGTTCTAGACGCCCTAGGGTAACAGAACCACAGGATTTTAACGTTTTTTGACTTTGAGAATTTTGCAAAACCGGCACCTTACTGTTGTTCGAGCGATTCATCAGCTCTAGGAAGTTCGAGGTGACCAAATGTCTGAACTTACTGCTCGAAGAAGATTAAATAAGTATGTACATGTGGCTTTTTGCCCCGTAAAAGGACCAGAATTGACCAGAAAACATAGAGTTTCACGGCTGGCATTTGATCGAGAACACAGCTGTTGGTCTTTAGACAATTGGTCTGCTGTACTTTTTACAGATCAGTGTAGATTTGCTCTACGATCTCCAGATGTGTGGAGAAGGCGAAATGAAAGGTACGAAGCCTGCATTTTTCCCCAGAGCTAACCTTTTCAACATAGCTAACTGATGATGTGGGTGGGAATTTCAATGGAGAGTCGCACAGAGTTAGTTGTTGTTCGTGGAGGGTCTTTGACGACCACTCGCTATGTGGATGGAGTTTTGGAACATCACGCGTTGCCTATCCTCGATTAAATCACCGACAATCCTATCCAAATAAACGATGATACCCGTTCACATGTCGCTCGCTTAGTACAAACGCACCTTCAATAGCACAACATTATGGTCTTAGCCTAGCCAGCCCGTTCTCCAGACTTGAACCTTATCGAACATTTATGGGATTACTCAAAAGACGAATAACAGAACGTCCGTCACATCCTGATACACGCCACAATCTTGAAAGGACGCTTCGTGAAGAATGGGCTATAACCTCTAGCAACGAGACATTTCCAGACTCGTAGAAAGTATGCCGAAGCGTCTTCTAGTTGTAATTAATGCTTGATGAAGCTGGTAAAATGCATTGGTATTGCACAAGATAGCTAACCGTAAGAAAAACAACAAAAGGAAAACTTTGAGAAACGTGGCTCATCGGCTTTTCAACATGGAACGTCAGCTCAGCACAAATTCAAGGTCATTCAGGGTAATTTACTCCTGAAGATGACCCGAATACACGTCGAAACGTTGTTAAAAAGAATGAAAAAGGGTTTTTCTAAACTATCATATTCTTGACCGCTCTTCACGTCTTCAACAAATTATTGGTAAAAGTTTTAAATATACAAGACCATACTACTAAAATGTATTACTGACTATCATTTAAATAAAATGGTAATGAAAAAATAAAAATTGGCACTACTAAATGCATACTTAAGCTGTGAATTATGTATTATTTTGGTGCTACAATAGTGTGTAAGTAGATACTCGAAGCATGACGAGCAATCATTTCTCTGGGCTTCAAAGTTTACAAACTTCCGTTATTTATTGACACAACGATTGTATGTATTCACTTTTGACGAAGTGATCCGGCTGTAAGTCAACCGGAGTTACGACTTTTGAAGCAATTAAGTGACGTGTTTCGGGGAGCGAGCCAACGTCAAATATAGTGCAGACTGTAGGCTTACTGCCTTACTGCCTTCTTTCCCGTTCGCCCTCAGTCTCGGCCAGAGTAGCATGCAGAAAGGATGGCTTTCAATTATTTCTACAACCAAGTATCAGATGCTTTAGGCAACAGGGGCGGAGGCGGAGGTGGAGGAGGAGGCGGCTTTTATTCAAATTTCCCTAATTTCCCCAATCTGCCGAATTTGCCAAACATACCTGGTATAGGAAATTTGTCCAATTTCGGGTGAGTGATTCTATTAAATTCAAATTTCAATTATATTTAGTTTTTAAAAAAGGTCGAATTTGATTTTACATTTAAAGTCTTTTTTGCAAAGAAAAAAAAATCAGTTATAACTAAGTAACTAGTTTCTTCTTCCTCATAACCAACTGGGGTCACCACCATTCAATACATGTTGTGTAGATGTTTTTTCAGTTCTTTCACTTCTCTAACTGTAGCAGTGAGTTTGCCAATCTTTGTGAAGGTTGTTTTAGCATAAGCTTACTGTGTCTCGCACCTCGAAAGTTGATCTACTTATCCTTTTTTTAATCTTTTTGTTGTTTGTGTATGTTTTTGTTATCGCAAGAATAGACTCAACGCCTTTTTATATGGTCTTGCAGATCCTGCTCTAGGCAGTCTGTCTGCCATTTCGTTATCCAAAATTTGTGTCATGGTACCCAAGATATCATCAGGTTGTTGTGTACCGCCATATTTATTTATTTTTATTTACCACCAGACAGCAAAGGTTTTGGGTTAATTACTTCTCTTCAAAATGTCTCGCCTGGCATGGAGACAGGATGAGCATTTAATAGGCTGATCAAAATCAAGTAACGGTCGCAGTTAGCCTTCAAGTCGATATATTTCGGTCAGCGATGTGTCTTCTTCAGTTGTTATTCACTTTCAGATTTGCCATCTCTGGTTCGAATAGAAAAACAGAGCATATCTTGAAGGAAAAAAACGATCACATCGTTCGAAATCCTTGATAATTGAAACAGAAGGAGTGATTCAACATAACAATTTGAAGAGAGCCATGTAATTCATTAAAAGTTGCCTTTAGCGTAGACTTAGAAACGTGTTACTTAGAAAAGAAAAGCCGAAAAAACCTGCGCCACGTTGTCATAGTGCACAGATTTGGACCACTTTCGTTTTCCAAAAATGATGAAGTATTTTAACCGATAAATTGAAGAACACGAAGTTTAACACCGTTTAGAGAAAACAAATAAGCCTCAGGTGCAATAAAAACAGATAATGCAGATTAACAGAGTGATTGTAAATTGTAATTATTATTTAAAAAATAAACATGCAAAATATGGCTTGTGTAGTCATAAAATCTAAATGGAAACCTCATTTGTTTGTAATTATTGAACATAATGAAAGATCTATTGACTACATAAATAAATTCGAAGACAACAGGTCAATGTAAAAAAAACTTGATAAAACTAGTTTTATATTTTGAATTTGGGAATTGTACATAACGCAAAATGGGGTTGAGATAGGAAGTTGATGTCCGAGGGGATCGAGGTCACGATAGCTCAAGTGGTAGAGCAGCGGCGTATCTAGCCGAAGATCGTGGGTTCGAATCCCGCTCGTGCCATTAGCTTTTTTTCATCTCAACTAAAAACCTTAATTAATTGTCAAGTATTAATTGGCCAAGCGGACCATGAAAGTAGTGAAATAACGCAAAATATTAAATTTTGCAGAGGTAACAATTGAAAATAACTTAAGCAGTCAAAGAAAATATAGATATTTAAAAAATTTAAATAAAAAATCGACAATTTGTGAAAATTTTGAAAATAATAGTTAATGGAACGCCATTAACCTTTAAAATCGACTAATATAGTAAACAAAACCAAGTTAACATTTGTTTCATTCGTACATAACATAGTTACATGTTCATGAACCTAATGCCTATTAAAATTATCACTCTGGTGATTAGCTAATTTACGTCGCGTGGCAATAAAAACGACCATTGGCCAGTTATTATTCTGATTCTGTTTACTATAACGAGCTTGACACATTTCTCTTTAGAAACCACCAATTAAACAGTCAATGAGAGTTTGGTTTTCAGGAAAATTCACACGTGCCAAAAGAAATGTGTGCCTGAATTAGAGTTGGGTTTGCCCTGATTTCCTACACTTCACGAAATACATAGGAGTCGAATTTAGGCCATATCTTTATTGGCCCTCGCCCTATTTGTTATTAGGTTCGATTTTACCAATATATACCTATAAATACGATTTATCATCAATATATATTTATATATTCGTATATATGTATTTATTTAATATTTAAATTACTTCAAAATGAGGGCTGTTTTTTAAAAAATATTGAAAACTCATGGATTACTCCAATTGCAGATCAAGACCCCTGTATATAGATACTTCAAAGTTTGAATTCATAAAGTTGTTTAGTTTATGTTGTTTGTGATAAAATAATGTTATAATAAAAATTGTCATTTGTGTACACCTGAAATAATTTTGGATAATATAAGCTCAAATCTAATATATACACATGTTCAAAGTTGAGCCTATCACTTCTCGCAGTCCGCAGGCGATTCCAATTTTTGTAGTTCACTATAGATTACCGTCACCCCTCGAGAATCACCCAGCTGAGATCACCCAGAACCGTCCAGCCCTCCGAGGTTGGGTTCTGGGTGCTATCAACAGCTAGGTCAAATTCATGCAATACCTAGGTCCGAATTCACTTACACTCTCATTCTTTCTTAAATACATTCTTTCCTATTTAAATACCGGTCATTCAGAGTAGTCGAGTAGCTGATATTCCACCATCACCCTTTACACCTATTATACAAATAAACTTGAGGGTGGATGTTTCAATATTCCTGCTACACATTCACGCTAATAAATACACTTAACCTCAGCACACACTGGGGACACAAATCTATATGCAATAAAACAACACTGTTTCCTACATATTCGATACCGTGCTCTAGCACAATTCTCACATCGTTTGGCATTCCTACGCGCTCTCTATATGGACCCATTGCACCCCTCAACTAGGTGGGACACATCGAGCACCTTTCAGTCCATGCTGGAGACATACGCGGGCTTTGGCCTAAAAGTTTGTGCCGGTGTGTCAAGCTCGCACGGCGTATGCTTAATCGGGTGAGGATGACATTTTTGAAAATCGTTCTTGTTTCGTTAACAAAATTTTATACATTGGAGCTTCCTGTTTTAACGAATCACTATTAACGTTAATAATGGTTGAATTGCACTATCAAAATTCTGAAATAATAAAAAACTCAAGGGTAGTGCGAAGAGGCTGAAATGTCAAAGAATTTTGGGACCTGGAACTAGTCAAAAGAGGGATTTTTCAGATTAAAAAAAAAATCCTAGTAAATTTCAATAATATAAATAAATAATAGGGAAAACTGATATCGTCATAAAAAAAGAACAGAAATAGTACTTACTAGCTAGCAATATTGTGGGTTCCAAACCACAGTTTTTCAACTTTTAAATAATTATAAATAATTTTTTTTAATGCAAATAAATTATCGTAAAGGATGCGAATGTTTGCCTTTGTTCAGACCTCAAGTGCTTTAATTTATTTCCTTTCAATGCTTCTCAAGATAGGAAACCTTACTTTATTCGATGATTATTCGGAAATCGTGAGATGTGGTCCGGTGTGGTGTAGGTTTCAGAAAAACAGTTTTAAACACAAACACTTTGAGTGAGTAGAATACTTTATACTTTGATTGAATATAAAAAACTATTTTTTGCATTGTATAAATTCACTTTTTTCCACATCCTACATGTACTTGTTAAATTTAAACAATGTTTGTAAATCCCAGGCCCTGAAGATGGTCTCAATAAAGATCGAAACGTTGGCACGACAAAGAAAATGTTTTTCTGAAACCTACATCACACCAGACCGAATCTCACGATTTCTGAACAATCATCGACTAATCACCACACATTACTTTATTCGATTCATTTTAACCAAATTTCCGTTTCAGGTATGTTTAAACTTAGAATACAAATCCATAAAGTGAATCAATGCTAATCATTTAGGGTAAAAAGCTTTGTTGCTAACAATCATTGATAATTATTACTAGTCGACTAAATGAGATATGGATTTTTATACGGTCATAAATTTATAATTTGCGACTAAGACAAAAAATTGAGGGAATTAACTTCATTAAAGCATGGCCCTTCGAAGGTCCCGCAAGGAAAGGATCGCTTGCCCGTTTGAAGTTAGGCCATACCCGACTGACACCTGCGTTTTTTGCTACGTAAGTGTCCCGCTTGCAGAGAAAGGTTGTGTGTCACACTTGGTCGAGGTGTGCCGGGCCTTGGCCCCTTAGAGGGAGCGAGTAGGCATGGCACCCGACATAAAGGCACGAGATTGAGTTGTTGCGCCCCCTGTTTCGATTGTTAAGTAAAACGGGGGTGTTTCCTCATTTTAAATATTGTAAATATTATATATAATTATTGTGCATCTGTATAGTGTATATGTAAGCATATAGTTGTTCAGTTTCATAAAGGAAAGGACTAGATTTCAGGATATTTAAGAATCAAGTGTGTTTTATTTCATGTATGCATAGTTTCTTTCAAATTTATTTCTATTAAACTGACATCTCTATTTTCAGGAGACAGGCTGACGGTTTTCCACATTTCCCAAGACCAAATTTACGCGGTTCTTACAAATTCTCGAATCGAGTCCTTAAAGGAAACCAAAATACCTTCGATCCTTCACGATCCACCTTCCGTGTGAGTAGCCCTATTTTATTTGAAATAATTGAAATTCAAATCGAAAGAGACGATCTTATTTTATACAGAAATTCAATTAAGTAAATTGTCAACGTGAGTCACGACTGGGCGTGCCCTTTGTTTTGGCTTTACGTGTCTCAAAACAAATGGAAACAGAACTTTCCCAACATAAATAATGTGATGAATTTGATAACAGAAAAATTATCATGTTATAATACTATAATTGTAATTATATTAACATAAAATATGTATATATGTAAATACATATGTATATATTTTTTGACAAATAAGGACAAGGAAATAAAAACTGACTGATTTTTATTTAAGCTTTTGACGTACTCTGCCGATAAGAAATTGAAAATATTTCATTCACATTTTTCCACTTCAAAAGAAAGTTAACCGTTTAAAAGCGATTATTATTCTAAGGTTATTTAAAAACGCCCCATTACTAAGCATAGTGGGACTATATTTAGTATACACTTTTGACTGAATTTCTTAGTTTGCCTTTTGCTTACACATCAAATGTATCCCGTTTTGGGATTGTTTGATTTTAGCCGTTATGAAGCACAAAAACTGTTTTTTTATTATTACATATCATTAAACCATTACCATCTTTTTATTGGTACAATACCCTGTACGACCATCCTTTCAAACTTTTAACAAGAAATTAATTCAGTATTCTGTGAAAGCATTAACAACTATGGTATGAGTTCGTCATATTGAGAAAGGTTGATCAATGTGCCCCGCCTAATTGTAGGGTGCAATTTCTTTGTTCCATATAGAGAGCGTGCAGGAATGCCTCCCGATATGAAAATCGTGCTAGGAGCAGCGAGTATCTGGGTCCCCTGTTCCGATTCTTGGAGGATACAGGGTTGTTTTATTAAATATAATAATGATACCTAGCAGGTGTAGAGTGAATGTATTTATTAGCGTAAATGTGCGGATTGAGATAACTATCTATAAACAAAAATAAACAATAAATGCCATTAAGTTATCTTCCTAGAATCAAAAATTCACAAAACCAATATAAAATTAACTTGAAGAACGAGCATTAGCCGATGATTAAATTCGGAAGTCCAACTTCCGGGACCTGACCACTGTGATCCGGCCCTCTGACGGTAAAAAAGCAATTTTAAAAAATTATAAAAGGAAATGGCAGCGTCGGTGAATGGGATCGGAGGAGTAGCGCAGAATCGTAAAAGAGAGAACATTCTCACCGGATTAAGAAAGGCCATGAGAGGTTGACGCACGGCACTTACTTTTGAAGAAGATAAGAAAGATTGCTCAATGTGTGCCAATTAATTAAATATTAATTGAATAGTATCATTCTTTGGCTCCATATAGAGAGCGTGTAGGAATGCCACCCGATATGAGATTATCGTTGGTAGCAAATATTCGGTCCCCTGTTCCGACTTTCTGAGGAAACGAGACTGTTTTATTGTATTTATTTTATCTCATTTTTTGTTTATATGTCGGGTACTGAGATTGAGTGTATTTATTGGCGTGAGTGTAGTGACAGATGACGATGGTAGAGTATTAAGCACCTCATTGACCCTCAATTAGATTAATTATATAATATGTGTAAAGGGAGGAATATCGAATACTCCACCAACCTAACTGAATGAACTGTATGTACATGAGAGCTGCGACTATCAGGGACCCCCGATTATTGAAGGAAACAGGGTTGGGTAAGACAAAATATAGTAATTATACCTTATAGCTTGTGAGGAGTGAATGCATTTATTAGCGTAAATGATTAGTGTGAGACGGTCAATGGCGTAATTTGAGTACACCATTGACCCTCAATTAGGTTAGTCATATAATATGTGTAAAGGGTGATGGAGCAATATCGAGAACTCTGCCGTCCAAATTGAGTGAATGGCATGTATTTACAATGAATGGAGGGTGACTAGGTTTGTATACATTATTTGTATGTAACTGCATGCGTAGGGTGCTGACTAGACCTGGCTGTTGTCACTGTTTACTGTAAACAGAAAAAGCTCGAATTGCCGGTGGACTACTAGAAGCGAATAGGCTCAACTCGATACATGTAGATGTAATTTCAGGGTATAGTATACTGCGCCCTTTAAGAGCTGTTGTATCCCTAAATACAATGTAAGCCTAAAGCACATCGGTGAGTCCTATTTCATCAGGAAACTTGATTAATAGGCCCGGTTTCAGTGGTTGAAGCTCTTCTATGGTCACATTATACATCCCAAAACATTTCCTCCTGCGGGCTAGTGTAGCTCCGCAGTTTTTTAGTAAATGTGTTGGTGTCTCTTCTGCCTCCTTGCAGAATTTTTTAATTTTTTTAACTGGGGCTTCCGACATCTAGGTCATTTCAGCCCCCAACTATGTCTATATTCTATTTACCCTTTCAAACACTACATTCATACAAATAAATACATCCATACAATACACTCATTCCGTTTGGTCGGTGGAGTAATTGATATTCCTCCACCGACCCTATATTCAAACTAATCTAGATTGGGGTCGATGGAGTACTTTTATAAATATTCCGCTATCGACCCCAAACACACACTCTTACGCTCTCATCGTTCGAGGGGTGATGATGACGTTATATTTCACCCTCACCCCTCGCCATTCACGCTAATAAATACATGCACTCAGACAAAACATATAGACACACAACACATAAGACATACTATATACAATAAAAAAAAAACAATTTCCCCTAAAAAGCGGAACAGGGGACTGAATCTCGCTACCGTGTTCGAAAACTCTTCTTAAGTCCGGCGGCATGCCTACACGCTCTCTGTATGGAGCCAAGGGATGACACGCCTCTATTATGTGGGACACATCGAGCAACCTTTCTCTGCATAAGGGGCACCTGCGCGGGCTTTGGGCCAAAAGTAGGTGCCCATGTGTCAACCGCGTATGGCCAATCCTCAGTCGGGTGAGGACGATCCCTCGTCTCCTGCTCAGATTCTCTGAGGGCCATCTACCGGTCGTGCTCTTGACTCGCAATTATTCCTTATTATGACTGTATATATGTACAAGTGCGGATTTGAGTCTATACAAATCCAAATCTAAGATTTTCAATATTATTTTATAAATTAAAAAAAAAAGTTTAACGAGTTTATAGAACAAAATTTGATTCTTTAATACTAACCGTAACAAGTTTCTAGACTCAACATGTTACAAAAAATTTCATATATTTTTATAAATTTAATAAAATATATCATATTTTATGTTTAATAGGAAGGATAGAGAGGTTCTTTTAAAAAATATTAATAGACAAGCATCAGTCCCGAGACACGTGTGCCCCACATGTAGAAACAACTAACTATTTTCGGATGTCCTTTTAAAAAAACCTAACAAAATCACAAGATTTATTAACATTAATTTTTAAATAAAAGTAAACTGTTCGTTAAATTACTTGATTTTTAACGCTGGGTGTTATGTGAAAAGAATGGATTATATGCAAGATTTATGTTTATTTAACGCATTTTGGAACACACCTTTATTCCTCATCCTGATATAATTCACCTAATGAACCTGGTAATCCTATCTACCAAACCCCTAAAATGTTTTATGTTTAATGTATATTTTAAGATACGTAAAATGCTTCTTATATTTAATGCCGACTTGGTGAAAAAGTGAAACGTGTCAGTCCAAAGTACATCTATGTACGATATACCTAGTTTATGAATGGAAGTATTTATAGGGGTTTAAAAGTAAGAATCACTATTTGTAGGTTGTTATTTGTCTCGGATCATGTTGCATGACATCGCCAAACAGTGTTAAGATTTATTACTTAACAACTGTAATCAATTCATCAATGCCAAATATACGTTTATTAAGACCTCGATTTATTCAATTTCTGATAATTCCGGCAATAAAGGAATAAAATTGTCGATGAAGGATAGATCGTTATCGTTATGATTAAAACAAAAGGCACTATTAAGTTTATTTTTTCTTTCTTAATTGCATTTCGACCAAGGTTCACGGGATGCGTAGAGGTCTGATCGGTACACATAAACACAAGGATGGCTTGTTTTTACCTACGGGTGATTAACATTCGAACATTCGTAATTATTCAACTTTTTCGTCAGTAAAAGGTCGATAATAAGTAGAAGGTATATATAATTTTAAAAAATGTTATTATATATATATATATATATAAATTATANTGAAGATGATCTCAATAAAGATCGAAACGTTGGCACGATAAAGAAAATGTTTTTCTGAAACCTACATCACACCAGACCGCATCTCACGATTTCTAAATGAACATTAATTATGTATATTTTTCTTAATAAATAGGCCCTGATGATGGCAACATAATGTTGCCGAAAGCTTGGTGATCCCAACACTTTTGCATTTCTTTCACCTAGTAAAGACCTTAAAGAAGATTTGAACTCTACATTATATATAATCGGTTAGGTATTTCAAAGGGGGGAAAAAAAGCGTCCAAGGTCTGGAAGTCGTTAGGTCTTTATCACCCGGTTCTCACAAATTAAGTGTCGACTTTGATCGTCTTTTATCGACAGCCGTGTCCATTTTGATCTTTTAAATTCTATTTTGACTTCGACCTATCCTAAAAATTAAAGAGCGTAAACATTTCAATTCAAATACATATGTATTTTTATACATAACACATATGTATGTTTTACTTATGGAGCCAACTGTCATTTTTCAGAAGATCTCTGATAATCCTGGGCCGGCTATGCCTGTCGGTTGATCGGAGTTTAATTTAATTTTTTTAACTGTTTAAACGTACTAGATCAGAATGTTTTATTCCGTTATACGAACAAAAGGAATCTAAATATCTGACTTAAATCACATACATAGGCAATTTAGATTTAATGAAATACAATCAAAGACAAAACACGTTTATTTATTTTTCATAATAACTAGGTATAAAAATTAATAGTTGCCTTAAAACGTAAACAAAACGTTAATAACTTGTTGTTTACGTTTATAGTGTTACTAATACTTTTACACTCTTTATATTAAAAATAAAGAAAATCAGGCCA